TGGCCAAACCGGCCCGGGCTTTCTTTTACAGGCACCGCTCCCATGCGCGCGTGCTTCACAACTGCCTTGGCTTCCAAGTATCGTATACCCCGTCCCGTTGGTATCACGTCGTCACTAAATACTAATGATGAATCGAAGAATCGAAGAAGAAAACAAATACACCGTCGCATCCAAACCACGCCTCTTCTGGGCCAAGGTCTATGCAATGCTGTTGGGCAGTCTCTCTGCCCATCGTGGCTACGCCAATGCCCTCTTCCCTCCCTACATTTCATTCCGTGTCTCTCGCCGGCAGGCACTCAATCGAGGACCAAGGGCGCTTGTTTACTTCCTCCACCGTTCCTACTGCTCCCTTGGCTCACGCCTGTTGGCTGCGTTCCAAAAGACTGATTGGTTGAAGTCGTTTGATTGGTTTGTGTCGGTTGGCCCTCGGTTGATGGTGCGCTACTAACGTCACCAGTCACGGCGTATGCTCGCACCAGGTCGTCGAGCTTCGTAAGCAACTCCATGGTACTTGGGCCAGGCCGCGAGGCTGCGCTCGTCCTAAGACCCCTCCAGCCATTGCCGTGAGATTCCCAGACTCCCTTCAGGAGCTTGTTGAACTCCTCGTCAGGGGCCACCACGCCCTGTGTTGCACGAGTGAAATTCCACCACATCTCGTTGCGCCGCATCCTGCTTCGTATCTCAAGTACCAAAACCCGAGGCTCGCCTGTCGGACTAGGCAGGGTATAACGAAGAGCGATCCAGTCGATGGACCTGGTGAAGATCTCGACGCGACCTTGGTTGGTTGTTTCGAGGGGTTCCCATTTCGATTCGATGCTCTCGAGGGTTCTCAGAACTGGGAGGAGTACCGGCATATAAAAGATTAAGACTCTAAGTCCATCCTGGGTATTCACCAACGTCGTGAGTAGGTCAAGAACTCTCGCGTGCGGGTTCCCCTTCTCCAGGGACATTCTAATCTGACTCTTGGCCAAGTCGAGGGATACCCTCCAGCGTTTTGGCTTCTGAGTCTGGTCGCTCTCGCCTGGCATTGTGATATCGCTGTACGTGAAGACGACCTGCTGAAGGCTGACTCTTTCGCACTTAACAGAACCCCTTGCTTTGCTCATGGCCTCGAGGAAGCCTACAAGGCGATCAATAGACTTGACATGGGTTGTCAAAGTCTCTAGAATAGGTTGCCCAACCAAGTAGCGTATGCGGAATATGAATTCGCCCTTCTTGGGACTGAAGGAGACGTTGCGGTCGATACGGCCCTTGAGCAGTGCAAATTTAGTCTTGTCTTTGACCCGGACAATGGCGTCAACAATGGTGTTGAGCTCAGCGTTTTCAAGCACCTCCACAGCCGAGGGAGCATTGCCATCTTGGCCCTGGGCGGCTGTAGGCCGAGTTTGAAGTCCCTTGAACTTCACTTCGACCTGATCCTGCGCCCAAGATGAGTCCTGTTTGCCCAATTGCCTCGAGGTATCTTTGGGGCCATCCTGTGCGCCTGATTCTGATGACCCCAAGATCTGGGACAGCTTGATGACCAGAGACGGGAGCCGTACTTGTTGTGGTAGTGCGTAATTAGTAGACTCCTTCATCAAGTATTGGATCTTGCCCTTATGCAAGTGCTCCAAGTCAGTAGCCTGTTGAACGATGCCAGTCACAAAGAGTGTCAGGTGAGACCAGAAGGCATCATCCAGATCTGGTTGCCCTCGAGTGAGTTGTAGTTTGGTGTGGAACTTGAGTGGACGTGTTGGCGTGTTGCGGTCACTATCATCGTTAGTATCGCTGATCCAGTGCCTCTCAGGAGTGTAAACTTACATATCAAGCAGCCACCATTCGTCGCCACTCAGGCTCAAGGACACCATAACGAACCAGTTTTGATCTAGGCTCTGGCGCTGCATGAAAATAGTCTGGAATGCCTCCCGAGTCCGAATGATTTGCTTGATGTCTTCGCCACCAAGAGGACTCTTGCAAGTCTTCCAGCCCACACTTCGTCCTCTGCGGCTGCACTCTTCAATGAAGTAGCCCCATCTGATGTTCTCGAGGCAGGTAACTCCGTCCTCTGCGGGGTCCTTGCCGCCGTAGTTGAGGCGGGTTTCTCCTTGTAGTGTATATTTCGCGTGAGGCTTGATCGCGGCGAATCCAGTGATGGGTTGTATAAGGAGTGTAACGTTATCCCGAGGGCCCAGTTGCATGCTCAAGGATGATTCCATCGGCTCCGTTTGAGAGACTGTCAAAGTCATCGAGGACTCCCTGTTGACGAACCGAGGATATGATAGAAGCTTGGTGTGGATGGATGACAGAATGTGCTCAACGTGTCTGGCCACTGCTGTCTTGAGCAGGTCTTCGGCACACAAGTTGTCCACATCAAATGGCAGGAACACATCCTTGACTTCCTTGTTGTCCCGATACCAGCGTGCAACTAATCGACTGGAGTGCTTCGAATCAGTCTGCCCGTTCGTCTTCTTGGCACTGTTCACTGCAATCATGACCCAGCTCTTTGGTCCGTTGGCTCCGTATCGAGTGGTCCAGTATTGTAGGGCTAAGGCTCTGTTGAGAGGTTCCACCATCAACGTGCCAGTCCATGTGCTTCGACTCAGCTCGATGGCCTGTCTCCTGAGCTCGCTGATCTTGTGCGTGAGCACAAACTCGTGCAGGAATCGGTAGCATCCTTCGAGACCTTCCTTTCCGAGAATTTCGTTAACGTGTGCTTCGAGGAACGACACCAGTGCGTCAGAGAGCTTGCTTGATGATGGCGAAAAGGCGAATCGGAAGTCAATGAACCAGAATTGTTGGGTAAAGTCCTCATCGGCGATTGTCAAATCCACTTCAAACTCGCCCTTCACTACGAAAGTGACTCTACCAGACTGAATACTGTAATTCTTGAACTGATGTGGTATTTTGTCGTAGTCTTCCAGATTCAGGCGAAGAGAGAGCATCGTGTTAAGATCATCGATCCATTTCAGTTGTTCTTCTGCTGTCAATGGCGGTGGTGGTATATATCCAGGCTACGACAGATTAGTTCCCATCTCCGCCTCATCAAGATCCGGATAACCTACCTCTGGAATCCATGATGCTTCACCAGTCGTTAGGACTTGCAGAGCCGTCTTCAAGTCAGGGTTGGGAAGTCGGGCGTTGTCCAGCGAACGCTTCAGGTCAATCAGCAAGTCCTGGGAGTAGTCATATAGCATACGTTTCGAGTCAATGTGTGCCTTGATGTCGATAAGCTTGCTGACAGCCTCCGCATTCTTGCTCCAGTCCGTAATGACGAGGGCCTTGACCCATTTGGAATGTGCGTCTTGTGCAAACTTGATCATGAGCATCTTCTTTCTCTTGTTTCCTTCTGACATATCGTCAGGTGCATCGCTGCCATGGGGTGTATTTCCGTTCACTGCAGGAGGTGCCCATTTAATGGAACCCATTTCGACGACGGTCTTCTGTAGCTCTTCGTGGGTGTGTTGCGCCAGTCGGGCGACAATCGTCGATAGGGGAATGTACCCCTGGGTGATGTGCACAATCTCCTCGGGTAGGTCGTTCATCCTCGGTTTTTGCTGTAATGTCAGCCCGGTCGACATCTGCGATTGTTGCTTTCCTTGGGAGTCGTTTTGAGCGTTTCCGCCGGAGAGGCCATTCGCCATGTTACCGGCCCCAGGGGTGTCGGCGGGAGCCTTGCCCTTATTCGGCTGTCCTTCCATTGTTCCACCATTGGCGCCGTTGACCTTTAGGTTTCTGTCATGGTTCGGATGTGTGCCGTTCAAACCCCCATTCTCCATGTTGACGATTCCAGGCATCGGGGGAGGGCCCTTCCTGCCTCGTTGCCTGCGTCACGACCGGCCCCCCAAAATATGAACTTGATCTTTTCCTGGTCGATAGATTATGGAATACTGATGCTGAGTGAAGCCGTGCCAGATGAGCAAGGGAGGATAATGAAATGCTGGTCCCGGTCCGAGGTGGCTGTCAGACGGGATTCAGTCATCGGCGCCGGATGCGCAAGCCAGCAGGACAGCGCAATCGCATCAACTAAGAAACCGAAGTTTCAAAGAGGGACGCGATACACGTAGGAGAAGTTCAGTCGCCGAGGTTTCGTAGTTAACAGGCGCAAGTGTGGTATCGTTGAAACGCGATGAGGTCGTGGTCAATCGGAGGAATCGACCTAGCGTCGATCGTCGATGGGGGGGGAGGACGCGGGATCGTTGTCGGAATTGTATCGTTGATTCCGTGGAGAGTAATTCGCAAGTCGAGGTATTCAGTGCATGCGGAGTCTCCGAAGGGTCGTGAAGTCGGGGCGCGCAAGAATGTTCGGTTTGTTGACTGGTAGGTAATTGGGCAAGTGGTGATGCGATGGTGAGAGCGTGCAGCCAGGCATACAGGCAGGGCGGGAACTAGATCGGTCACGGTGCAACCCGAGCCTTCAGCATTTTTCTCGGACAGCCACGCCTACGGGCAGGCGCCAGCAGTCGACTGTCCCTGCTGTTCATCCGGGTCGGGGTGTCATGTGATCTCCGCCAATGGGACAGCCATGGGGTCCACCGTGCAACTCCAAGCCGCAAACCAGCTTAACCGTATTTAGCAGATTAACCTTATCTTATCAACTACCGTACCTTTGTTCGAGGTAGGAGCTCCTCGAAATACTTCGGTACCTCACCTAGCTAGTCACTTAATCCTAGCATGTACCCTTCATATATCGTTTCCAGCTGTAAATTCACGATTGTCACTTTGCACCTTTCAGGTACAAATCCGTGTAATTTTCTTGAGTTACAAGCCTAGAGATCGAACATTGCTGTAAGCTGCATTCTGGACTGGCTCGTTGCATGAAAACCTGATTGCATGTGTTCAAGATTTCCCACAATGACGTTCCTATGAATACCTACGCTTTCGACAGTGACTGACTCGTTGCTCTATGTACCTTACTAAGTGAGTACCCTCGTCACCCCGGCTCTGCCGAGGACAGTCGTGTCTTGGTATACCTTTCGGATACGAACCGTTCTTGGAAAGAGAGTTCGTCAATCATAGAAGTGTAAGGAACGAACAGTTTTGATCATTAGAAACGTGAATCTCATTGATTTTCTATCCTCTCTGAACCGCCAAGCAAAGCGAAGAAATGTCCATCGTCCTACCAGTGTTCACCCGTGGGCTTTCCTCCTGGCTTCCCTTGTTTATGTCGTCTTCATTTGAAATCTATGCCCTCCCTTCGATGGTTATGATACGTTGCGAATGCCATAGGCGGCGCAGTGGGATATCGCGGGTGCATTGGTCGAAAGTGTGGTTTTTTGTAGTTGGTGTAATGGGGGTGGAGGGGTTTGCTCAACTGCTCGTAGACATCCTTTAGAATCAATTCTTCTATGTATGATAGCTACGCTAAGGCGCGCACTTAGTTTTACTCACAACTTGTTCGGGGCAGCCTGAGCAGAGGTAGTAGGCCACTGGTATCCAGCCGCATCACTGAACTTGTAGCCATAGGAGGAGGTGAAGTCGTCGAGGACGGCGGGGCCACGAGATCCTAGGAAATGGTTAGAAATGGCTACAGAACGTACACAATTTGGAGACTTACCATAGGGGTATTCCATGGGGATAATCTCCTTGTTGTCGTCCAGGTAGTGCAGCAGAGGGGTGAAGATTCTCCAGCTGGCGTCCAGCTCGTCGTCACGGACGAAGTTGGAGTGGTCGCCCTTCAGGCAGTCCAGAATCAATGACTCGTAAGCCTCTGGGATCTTGAGGTCAGAGAAGCGGCGGCGGTAGGTCAAGTCAAGTTCGGTGACGACAGTCTGCATGCTGAGACCGGGCAGCTTGGAGTTCATCTTGACGTAGACACTCTCGTTGGGCTGAATGCGCATGACAAGCTCGTTGCGGGGAATGTCCTTAAAGATACCCGAGGTAACGTCCTTGAACTGAATACGGATCTCAGTCTTTTGCTCGTTGAGGGCCTTGCCGGCCTTCATGATGAAAGGAACGCCATCCCAGCGCTCGTTCTTGATGTATGCGACAAGGGCGCAGAAAGTGGGACACCTCGAGTCCTTGGGGACAGTATCGTCTTCCTTGTACGATGGCTTGCTGCCGTCCAATGACTTGCCGTATTGTCCGATGATAACGTTCTTGGGCTCGATGGCGGGCATGGCGCGGAGAACGCGCACCTTCTCGTCACGAATGTCCTCCGAGGCGAAGGAAATGGGGCGCTCCATGGCGAGCAGGGTGAGGACCTGAAGCAAGTGGTTCTGCTGAACATCGCGAATGATACCGAACTCGTCAAAGTAACCGCCACGGCCTTCGGTACCAAAAGGCTCCTTGAAGGTAATCTGGACGTTGTCGATGTTCTGCCTGTTCCAGGTGGAGCCGAAGAAGGAGTTACCAAAGCGAAGGATGAGGATGTTCTTGACCATCTCCTTGCCGAGGTAGTGGTCAATGCGGTAGAGCTCATCCTCCTTCCAGTCGGGCTCGAGGGACTTTTGAAGCTCCCGGGAGCTGGCAAGATCCTTACCAAAGGGCTTCTCAATCTGCAGACGTCATCATGTCAGCATCTCCACAAGCAACGGGCCAATATTCAACATGGGCGGCACGTACGACAACGCGCGCAATTCCCTTGGTGGGGTAGCAGCATCTCTTGAGATGCTGGGAGACAATGGTGAAGACACTGGGGGGAAGTGCCATGTAGAAGAGACGGTGGGTCTCAGGCTTGCCCTGCTCGAGCTCCTCGAGGTGCCGGGTCAGGTTCTGGAATGACTCGTCCTTGTCGTACTGGCCAGAGACGTAGGTGCAGAGGTTACAGAAGTCGTCGAGCTGCTGCTCGATCTCCTTTGTGGGTGTCTTCATGTAGGATCTGATGCGGCGGATGTAGTCATCGTGGTCCATCTTTGTCCGCGCATATCCGACAATCTTGATGTCCTTGGGGAGGAACTGGTTTCGGTACTATTTGCGCCGGGTTAGCTCGCCACATCCGTGGGAGAGGCATATCAATGCGGTCGAGAAGTTCGTACCAGACCGAACAGAGCAGGGTACTATAGAGATGTCAGCAGATTTTCCGGCCATGGAGAGGCTCTCATTCGCGTACAGTCTTCTTCTTTGCCAAATCTCCGGAAGCGCCGAGAACAACGATGACGGTGTTCTCCTTGAGCTCCATAGAACTGTGTAAATAGCGCCATTGTCAGCTAAACTCGCACACCGAAAAACCAGAACGAGGCCATTGCCATTCTAGCACGACACAAATTGCCGGATTTCAGGTCGGACGGCGATGGGGAGTGAACCTCCGGAATCGCAAAGCACAGCGGAAGGGAACGTTGGTGGGGTAGGAAGGCGGGGTGACATACGCTGCGGCGGAGGTGTGATCGGCCATGGTGTGTGTGATGTCGGTGATGAAGCTGGCTCGACTATGAATATTTCTTTGGATGAGAGATGTAGAGAAGAAGGGGGAAAGAAAAGCCTCTACAGCAGGAAACCAAAGTTAGCAAGCAGAAGGGCAGAAGAGCGAGCTGGGAAGGTTTTGGAAAGAGATGCTGGGCGGGATCCGGGACGGATGGATTGGGGTATTTAGTAATGACGAAGCACAGATGTACCTCACCTCTGAGGTAGGGGTGTAGAGGGGTGAATGGGTACGACAGAACGGACCCGACGCATGTGTGGATGGGGTGAATTGGGATAAGGTATGGGTACCTACGCGGTATCCGTACAGTGGTGGTACGCCAGGCAGGGCATGGCAGCGTGGTGCGGCGCGAAGGCGCTGGAGGAAAAAGAGGGGGCCTTTGGGGGGGATTCTAGAGTCTCAGGGGAGCGAGTACCGTACAAAGACCGGGCCAGACAAGACGGCAAAAAGCCAAAAAGATACTTAGCCTGAGATCAGGTCAACATACCGCGTTTAGTGCATCCCGACGGGGTTTGTCAAAGCAGTACGGGAGCCAGGGGGAGCTTACTCACAGTTGCAGCCCACCTCTTGGTGCCGCCTTAGCGTGCCATGTACTGTACTTGGATACTTGTTGAAGTTGTCGAGTCCCGCAACCGCACCGCGGCTCGCCCTTTTGCGCTTGAGAGCGAATCACTCTGGTGTAGGTGGGTAGGCTTCCCTCGATGGGCAAGTGGATAATTAATAGATCAAGTCGATTTCGGCGGCATTACTGAGTGGTAGCTACACGGTAAGGTAGGCCAATAGATACCTACACAATGGAAGCACACGGGTGAGACAGAGGTTGGCACAGGTTGTCTTTGTGATTTTAGACAGCCCAAGCCTGAAAAGCGCCCGCCCGCTCTCGCCGGACGGCTAAGGACGTGGACTTGGACTTGGACGGAGGAACAAGCTGTGTGGAGAGAGAGAGACAGAGAGAGACACAGCAAGAAGCTGAGAGCGCACGGAGACGGAGAGCGAGGATTAGTGAGCGAGCGGGCTCTCGTGGATTATTCTACAGGTTTTCGGTGCTTTTTTGCGAGAGGCAAGGGCTCCTCCGGCCCCCCTCGTTCAATGTCACCGGGATTTCTGTCTGCTCCTCGCCGACTTTGGGCGCGGGACTTGAACAGGGTTGATGTCAATGGAGGGGAAGAAAGGAGGGGCACCTTCTCGGTCTTGTCGACAAAATGTTGAGCGCTCCCGGAGATTCATACGTATTTATCGGTCTTAAGCTCCCCGGCCCATCAGCACTGATCACTGACGAGTGGTGACTGAGTAGCGACCATCCCAAGCATCCGTAGATCCCTCGACTCGACTCGGCTCAACCTTGCGGTATGTACGAATACCTAGTCATAGCTTCCTGGCATAGCTCCAGTGTGCACAGAGTCATTCACGCCCATGCCACCTTGGTTTGGTCCGGCGCGCTGACGGCATCAAAGACTAGACGGTGGGCAATTGGGTTCCCAGCACAAAGCCAATCCCTCCCACTAACTTGTAAGTGGACTGGCGAGTGTCTGTCTCTCTGCCGCATCTGAATTTCAGAGTCAGCGACTGCCCTGTCTTGGTTACATAGGTTCTGTAGAGCATTCATCGTGCAACATCAATGCAAGCGTCGCTTTTCTATTCCGCCGGTTCGGGACACCATTCTCTGAATCCTAAAGACCCAGGGCCCAGGGGCGAGTGAGAACAGCAGCAGGTACAGTACATGCCAGACCCCTGCCCGAAGAAAAGAAATAAAAAACATTCTCGAGCAGATCGGGTACCTCGACTGAAGAGGAGCTAAGGTGCCTCCGTATGCAAGCTGCAGCAGAAATGTTGGACCAACGCCTGTCAGAGCGCACCGGAGCTCCAGAAACACAAAACATCAGAGGAAAATGGGAAAACATTAAAAAAAGATTCAGAGCCCTGCCGCTGCAACTCTAGCCCACCACGGCACACTTTACTTCAATGCACCGCGCAGACGTGCGGGATTCGATGCTGGTGTACGTGCAATAAACCAACCCAACTCAGTCACCATGTCAACATGGCATCCACACATATGACCTCAGATAACCAGGGCCCTCAGAAAGGGTCCAACATCAGCAGAACTGCCCAGCATTGATGGTTGAACATTTGGATCTTGGCTTTGGCTCCATCTCCGGCCCCAGCTGATGCGGCGGTACTCCCAGTCCCTCTCTTCCAAACGCCGGACACCGCCGAGGCTCCCGATCGGACTTTGCTGCTTATGAGATCGGTCTGGGTAGCTGAGAAGCGAGGGCGGAATTCAGGAAAGCTGTGGAAAGCGTGGGTCACTAGCCTGTGTGAAACGGTGCTCCGTCAGGTAACGACAGACCTGTCACACTCTGGCCTGTATCGTCGCCGTGTCGGGCCCAGTTGCATTGGAGAGTCATATCTGTCGCTGCTGCAGGGCAGGCGGATATGCCTGTGGTGCATTTCCTTCTCTTCCCTTCTCTCCCCCTTCCCAGCCCTTCCCATCGCTCCGATGTTGTCACCGCGGGGTCTTCCAAGAAGGCTCCATGCCAGCTGCCATAACTCCATCCCGCTGCCGGTCCGGCCAATGCAACTGTGGCATGAAGCTCTACTACAGACCTGCTGGGCAATCGGCAGAGTTTGGCGGCCAGAAATTGCCGCAAGCCCACCCTTTGAGGCGTTCCAATCGTTGAAGCTGGCGGCTCAACCTGTGCCGGACATTTATTACCACGGCCGCCGCCAGGACATTTGGAAGCATCTCCGGAGTCGCTCTTGGGTTGGGCCCCCACGGTTCGGTCTTCGTCGGTTCTAATTCCAAAGGTCCGAAGTTCCTGGTAGGTTGCGTGGGATTATCCGTGGTCTGGTTGACGCTTCAATAGTGGAAGATGTTTGAGACATTTCCCGCATGACCATCAGACTTTGTCTCTCCCCTTTCCCCCCTTCCTCTTCTTCTTGTTTATACCAAAGAGACGCCGATCCAGTTCAGGAAATCCCGCGAGATTTTGGGACCTGGGTGGTGGTTTATACTTGGGACGTCGGACTGCTAGGAAAGGCCGCCCTGCAACTGTCTCACAACTCCGCGGTTTCGGCCGTCCAAGCTCCAACGGATGGCCTGAAATATTCTGGAACTCCGGTCGAGCCGCACATCTGTTTCCGAGTTTGCCATTCTCTATCGAAAGTTGAAAGTTGGTATAGGCCATCAGTTACGACCAACCTTCACCTTAGCAACTCCTCCCGGCAGCTGCCTGCGGGATGTAACCAGTGCTGGGCTGAGGAGCTCCGGTGAGGCTCACACATAAATGGACGTTGCGGTGCATCATTGCATTTGTCATTGACGGATTTTCTCCCGCAACTACAAAGTCTTATCCGCCGCGGCTGCAAGGCTTCGGGCGAATGAAGGTGCGAGGGAAGTCGGTGTGGGCTGAATAGCGGCAAAGACGCGTCCAGGCCAGACTGGGTCCCCGGGTCGGCAGCTGGGCGGGATTGACACCGAGTTGGCCGAGAAACACAAATCCATGAAATGGTAAATTTGGAAACGCCCGGACGGAACATGGAAGGATGGAAGGATGGAAGGCTGACTGCGCCTCACCTGTTGATTCAAGCCACAATAGATGGCTCACCTTATCTTATCTAAAAAAGGGATTGAAGTGAAGTGGGGTGGAGTCTGCACCTCACCTTAGTCATCTCACGTGCCTCCGCAGCCCTAATTGTGCGCCGACGAAATTCGAAATTGGCTATCGGCCCCCGTAGCGAACATACCGAAATCGCCAACCCACGACGAGCGCCCGGAGTATTAGTCCATCGACAATCCTCTGCCTTCCTTTCTCGAGTCCCTTTGGTTGGAGCGTCGACATACTAACCACCGCCAAAATGCCTTCGGAAGCCGGTCACAGATGTGAGTAATTCGATGTCCAATCCTCCTGCTGCAAAAGTTTGCATTGTCGAACAGAGCCGCGCATTGCCTTGAACCCTGTGAATAGGGTCAATCATCGCGCACTCTGAAGATATCACATTGTGGTGTTTCCATATTATGGAACTTGAACTGACATGATTCTCTGCAGTATACGTCAAGTAAGTTATACCCAATCGATTTTCTACCCATCGGAACCGACGACGCAACTCGTGGATCAATACGACTTCGCCCATCACCTGGACAAACGATGCCTCAGCGACCCGAACTTTGCGCGACGAAATGTACTTCAAAGCGAAAGAATCGAAACTAACAAGCATTTCAGGGGACGTCACCTCAGCTACCAGCGTAGCCGTCACGTCACCCACTCCAAGACGAGTCTGATCAAGATCGAGGGAGTTGACGACACCAACGCCGCCAAGTATGTCACCCTTTCCACGCCTTCCCCCTCACAACGCCCGACACGAACGGTGGCTAATATGAGAGCAGCTTCTACCTCGGCAAGAAGATCGCCTACGTCTACAAGGCCCAGAAGGAGATCCGCGGTTCCAAGATCCGCGTCATCTGGGGCAAGGTCACCCGCCCTCACGGTAAATACAGCCTCCTCCGATCGAACACTTCCCCCGCGAAACCGAGCTCCCAGCTAATACTAGGATATAGGCAACTCTGGCGTCGTCCGCGCCAAGTTCTCCAACCCCCTCCCCACCCGCTCTTTCGGCGCATCCGTTCGCGTGATGCTCTACCCCTCGTCGATTTAAAAAACGGACTCATCATCGGACGGAGTTGGTATTTGAGGATGGATTCTGAATTGGTTGCATCGGTCCAGGCAAGGGCAAGAGCACAGTGCCTTGCTTGCTAAAAAAAAGGCATCAAATCAAACTCGTCAAACAACCACGCATAAAGGGCGAAACGCACAACCCGCCGAGAACCCTCCCCCACCCTATTTTTTTCATCGAGACATGGGAATATGATTCTGCGTGATTCGACAAGAAGAATGGAAGAGACGTTTGTGTACGGGTCGCGAAGAGTAGCCATTATTGTCGGGGGCTCGAGGACGGGGAAATGAAAAAAAAATCAACAACTTGATGTTGCTGGCCGGCTACACAAACGCGATAACGACGAACGGTAGATCGGGCGGCATTAATGTCAGGTGTTTTCAAAAGACATGGCTCAGCGACGGTATTCAATGGTTTTTGCACAACTTCCATTCGGCTCCCTCTTCATAAGCTGCCCGCGGCTTGTCCCCAGTCCTAGTCCAAATGTCTTGCTGCGAAAGCAGTTCCAAAGCTTTCCGAGTCCCATTTTGCCCGTTTGTGCTGCATTGGATGTATTGCCACATGGATCGGTGACATGCTTCCAATACCTCTATGGAATGGTATCGACATACCTAGCCTATCTGGCTCTATCTATCATGTGGACTGTGCGATTCGTGGAAATCCGGGGAAAGAAAGCCTGCCCTAATCTATTGCCATGTTCCCTGACTTCGATATCCCGTCAATCATCCAGAGGTTATGGTTCATATGTGACTTACTTCCCAGACGGAGGTCTATTCCTCAGTCAACTTCACTATGCAGAGACCTCGTTGCAACGGAAGTGTCAAGGATATTCTCACTTGCGCCAGCAACCCTATTGTCCCAACGGTCTCAAGGGACACTCTTAAGAAGTGACGTCAAGGGCCTTTCACTGACACGAAGCGGATCCATGGGGGCCGCTCCCACCCCGTCCCGATATCCCGCAGCCGGGAAATCTTCCGTCCATCTTCGGCAGATTTACCGCTTCGGTACCACGAGATGGGGCCTCCGGCAGAGAGGGGTGATCGTTTTGAAGATCTCCGTCTAACTTGCAACCCCCCGACATATTCAGGATTGCGAGATATTCTCGGCGAGATATTCTCACAATTAAACAAATGAGCGCATTTGACTCGACTGTTGAGTATTCAGTCCTGAGTTGCATGAGCGCAAACAGTTTTTCCTTAGCCGAGGGAGTGAAAATCCGTGATATCCACATCATCGCCCGGTCCGTTGCTCCCATCCTCTTCCGGGGTTCAACGTAAAGGGGACTTTCTCTTTGTGACCTGTACAGCCGTAATATGCATATTTTTGATGAGGAGAAAAAAGCGAGAGAGAGAGGGCTCTCGGTAAGTTCATGACGACACGGAAGCTAGACGTTATGAAAAGTGTCGACAGATGTGTGTACGCGGCTTGGCGCTGCCACACATCCTCCGTACCTAGCTGTGTACGACACGGCTTCACAAATATGAGACTTTCCAAGAGAACTCAAAGTTGACCTTTGAAAGACGAGAGAGAACATAAGGGTTCTACGCAGGTCTTGTCATATTTCTCGTTTAGATAACCGGGCCAAGGTGAGAATGGCATTACCGAATGAGTATTGTATGTAAGGGTGATGCCCCCCACCCCCAGAGGATGAAGTAAAACAACTCACAATCTTCAAAAGAACTCGAGGATGAATGTTTGATTTTTGTACATTATGCCATACACTATCTCCGCTGCACTATTCCATATGCCCCGTGTTGCATTCCGAAACTCCTAAACCCGTGGAATGGGGGCCAACAAAGACACACTAGCCTCAGCACCCTTACCACAGAATCCATCATTCAATATCCTCCATCGCCCACGCGCTCACGCCCGCCCTCTCGACATTAGCCTTGAGCTTGTTCAGCACAGCCTGTCGCTTGGCCCGCTTCGCCATCAACTCCGACTTCTCCTCCCCGCTAAACCCGCTCAGCTTCTTGCGCGGAGGCGTGCCCGTGCCGCCGCGGCCGCCGTACGAGGCCACGGAGGACACCATCGAGTTGCGCAGGGTGCCGGGCGACGCCATCACGGCCGATCGCTCGGGCGAGAAGAGGACGGATCGGCTGTTTCTCTGGGGCGTGACCATCGGGGAGCCCTCGCGGCTGTTGACCGACGAGAAGCGGAGCTTGCGCATCTGGTTCTCGAGGACGTCGATGTCGCCGGATCGCTTCTCCACCATGCTGGTCATCTTGCCAATGGTCCGCATGACGGCCTCGACGGTAGGCATGTTGGAGTTGCCCTTTCCAGATGCGCTGTTCGCGGCGGCGATTCTGGTCTTCAGGATCGTCAAGGCCTCCTCGGCTTCGGCAAGAAGCTTGGTGAAGTTTGTGTATTCGCGACGCAGCTCGTTCTGCTGACTTGCCTGCTCGGTACTCAGAGGCAGAGAGCGGCTGATGTCGGCTTGGTCGGGGTCCGTCTTCACCATAATGATCTTCTTAAGATCATCTTGCTTTGATCGGAGGCGAGACATTTCGCGGGCGAGCTCGTTGCATGCCTCAAGCTTCTCTTCAACGTCGTGAACACGACCATCCTCGAGATCCTGAGCCAAGGATCTGTCAACGACTTCTCCGAGCTCATCAATCTCGCAGAGAACCCAGCTGTCTGGGTTCTCGAGGTCTTGCTTGCGTCGGCCTCCGGCCTTGAATCCGATGTCGTGCCCCATGAGAAAGCTAGCAAGAGAGCGAGCATTCAGACCAAGTGTGTCGATCATCGAGTTGATGTCGCGATACACTGCCTCCACCTGGGCCGGGATGGTCTCCTTAGCCGACGGCACAACGTTTGAGTGAGCGATGAAGTCATCCAGCTTTAGTGTGGGTTCGATCTTGGAAGCAAGAATCTTCTGAATCTCATCATCCTCCTCGTCCTCCAGTGCCCTGGTCTCCTCAGCCTGCCGCCTTTGGCGCGCAAGTCTTTGCTGAGCAATGAAGTGATCATCGTTGGATTTGTTCCCGACAATGGATGACCCCATCTGCGAAGGCTGCTTTTTCTGGGCTGCAAGGATCTGAGATGCCATACCCGGGGCACTAACCGAACGAGCAGACTCCTGGCGCATGATGCGGCCTGGCACAGCGCCACGGACTGGGCTGGGAGAGCGAGGGCTGGTTTGGGACGGTCGGGGGAACATGGGAGCATTGCGGCTCAGATCACCAAACAGCGATGCCCTCGGTCTCTCTTCCTCCGTCCGTGGAACGGAGTAGGTGCTGCTGCTAACACCACCGAAAGAGCTTTGCGGGGTCATGCCTGCCGTAGGGGTCATCGCCGTCATGGATGGGCTTTGGTCCTTGGAGACAATGACGCCGCTGCCCTCAGACTCATCATCGTCGTCCTCATCCTCAAGATCGGTGTCATGCTCACTATCAGGCACAGTCGGAATGGAGGGGAAGACAGGCTCCTTGGGCTTAGTGAGGAAGTCTGGCGGCAACGGAGCATCGTCTACTGCAGGTGTCGTGTTCTGAGGGGTAGACGACCACGTTGCCGACGACAAAGATTGCTTGGGCATCTTGAGGAAGTCCGGAGCCGCAGCAGGTGCAGTAGATTTCGGCCGTTCAAGCTCCTCGGGCGAGGACTGGTCGTCTGCTGGCAAAGGAAGCGCCGCCGAAGGCGTGGCAGACACTGCGGTCTTGCCAGGCTTGGGCGTGAGGAAGTCGGGTGGGAGAGGAGCTTCGTCGGCCGGAGTAGTGCTTCCCTGTGGCTTTGAAGGCTTGAGGAAATCAGGCGGTAGCGGAGCAGCGCTGGCTGCCTTCGTTGACGTTGCCTTTGGCGTAGTAAGGAAATCGGGAGGCAGAGGCGCATTGTCCACTTGAGGTGAAGCCTTACTTCCACCGTCTGAAGGAACATTTCCGGTGCCCGAAGAAGACGAGGAATCACCAAGAGGATATGAGTTTTTGCTTGTCGTATCAGGGGGAAGAGGAGTGCTGGACTCGGTCTTGACCTCTGGTGTCTTCTCTGCCGGCTTCGCAGAACCAAATAAACCTCCAGTCGCTGGCTGAGAAGGGAATCCAAACAAGCCGCTCTTGGGGGCTGATGTTGAAGTCGGTGGGAAACCAAATTTGGAAGGCGCTGGAGTCTCTTTCGGCGTTGTGGATTGGCCAAGGCTGAAGACCGATTTCGGCTTTGGTGTCTCTTCGTTCGATTCTGTGGTCATCTCTTTAGGAGGAGTCTTCGTCACGGCGCTTCCGAGTGCAGAGCCGAAGTTGCTGCCAAACAGAGAGGATCCGCCAGGGGTAGAAGGCTTCTCATCATCGTCCTTGGCAGAGGGATCTGCCTCGAAGGTGGTTCCCAACTTGAAAGGCTGGCTGAAGGGATTGCTAGTCGCCGGTCCAGTCGAGCTCGGAGGAGGGAACGCGGTATCCTTAGAAGCCGTGCCCAATTGACCCCCAGAGCCGAATGGACTTGACGAAGGCTTGCTGGAGAAAACACTACCACCCTCGTTGCCCTTATTCGCAAGGGAACCAAAGCCACCAGAGCTAGCAAAGCTAGAGAATCCCCCAGACGCAGGTGCAGGTTTGGCTGCTGATCCACCGCCAAACACACTCTTATTCTCGGATGTTCCGAAGCTACTAGGCTGGCCGAACGCCGGTGACGCAGACGTGTTCGCACCAGACGCTCCGCCCGACGCCCATGGAGAGGACTTCTGTCCAAGCGATGACGACTGACCAAAACCGACTGATGAAGGCTGGCCAAACGCCGGACCTGATGAGGAAGCAGCTGGTGTCCCAAAGGCGCTGCCACTGCCGAACGCTGACTTGGGTGCAGCCAATGGCGTAGCAGAGGGGGTCCCGAAGGCGCTTCCGCTACCAAACGTCGACTTGGGTGCATCCGATGAAGCAGCGGAAGGAGCACCAAAGGTACTACCACTGCCAAACGCTGATTTGTTTGTAGCTGGAGTTGTGGCGGAAGGGCTTCCGAAAGAGCCGCCAGTGCCGAACGCTGATTTTGTTGCGGAGGCCTGAGCAAAAGGAGAGCCTGATGTAGCTGAGCTGCCACCAAAGGGGCTACCGCTGCCAAACGTAGAACCAGAGGCTGCGGGAGCGGCGGAAGACGTCGTCGCAGCGCCCCATGGTGAAGCCTTAGATCCTAGGGCTGACGAGCCACCAAATGTAGGGATCTTGGATCCACTGGAACCAAACGGTGAGGCCTTTTGGCCTGAGCCCAAGGCAGATGATGAACCGAAGGCTGGGGTGCTCGAAGGAGCGCCAAATGCTGATGTGTTCGGAGCCGGGGCCGGTGCCGGTGCTGCTGCTGGTGTCGAGCTCGATGCGCCGGCAGGGGGCGCGGAAGTATCAAGCGCGGCCATGCCAGGGTATGTCGTGCCCTGCCTGATGGAGTCCTCGTAGATAATCCACCATGAACTGAGAACACCCTCATTGTTCAGCACCCACAAACCCGGCACTGGGCCGGGAGAATCCTCAATCTCTTCATCGGCGGGCAATGGCTTGTATACCTTGTCCTTGGCTGAGAGATCAAGGGCAACACCGATGGGGATGGTGTTCTCATAGCTGTCATTCATGGGCAGAGAGGCACGTTTCGAGTCATCGGCCAGTTCTGTTGTGGTAAAGACGCCGGCAGTGTCGACTGGATGATCAGATGTCAGGGGTGACTTTGCCCTGCTGAGGAGGCCGATGTCTGGGGAGACGGTTGATGCCACGATGAGGAGATCTGAAAGGTTAGGAGGGAATTCCTTGAGCCTCAATATTGAGTGGTGAGGCGGCTTTTCGGCGCCAAACGGGTCGACAGGGTCGTTCAACTTTTGGAAAGTGAAATCTGATGGCAGCTTTCTTGTAATGAGATGGTATACTGAACTTGGCGGGGACTCCGAAGTTGATGTGTGGATGGCGAGGAAGAGGTGATTTTCCAGCCAAGTCAGAGACGATACTGTAGTCAATTAGTTCAGCATAGTTGCGCGTTTCGCCAGCTCGAGAACCTACCGTGAGCAGCCGACACGTTTGGTGGCCGTGGGATCTCGCCCTTGGCCTCACCCTCAGGGGTCATTTGGAAAATGGTTCCGTCCGCCAAGCCCGCCACCAGCTGCTTTCCTTTCGTGCTCCAGCTTATGCAGCTAACCTGTGCTTTCAGAGCATTGCTGACTGACCTCTCCTTCAGGTTCGCCATGTGCAAGTTGCCGTTATTCGTCACAATGGCGCACAGTTCCGCCTTCTCGATCGTGGGGTTCGGGAAGAGCGCCCTCAAAGTTTCGCCGTTCGTCGCAAGCTCGAACGCAGCTTTCGTGGCACCCTGGAGCAGGCTTTCGACTTCGTATACCGCGAGACCGCCTCCGCTCTCGGCTGAGAGGATCAGGTAGTTCTCGTCGGCGCTGAAGGCGAGCTGCGACACCCTCATAGGCATGGGCAGCTTGCCCTGCGGCTGGAACGCGCGGACATCGGAATCGCCTTCCTTTTCGCCCTCGAAGCCCTTGCGCACGGAGTCGGTCGAGGTGATGGTGATACCGTCGGGTCCGGCGGCGGCGACGAGGCCTCGGCGGGAGGCGATGCTGATGAGCGAGGCGGTATCGGCGGGCGGCGGGGACCAGGCGGATGTGAGTCGGAGCTTCGCGTCGCCTGCAATCGACTTGAAACCAAGCGCCTGAATAGATTTACATGGTGAGCCTCGAACTTTCAAAAGACAGCGGCATCGACGGTGTCGGTGACCAGATCTCACCTCGGTCTGGATCACCTCCAGCTCGGGGCCTTGATTCAGTCCTCCTCCTCCTCCTCCGGCCGTGGCATTTCCTTGGTTCGCGAAGCTGAAAGCCATGACTGTTGCGACGTGACCGGCTCGTGGAGGGAGGACGTGTAAGTCAGGGTTGTCCTTCGCATTCGCTGGAGGGGTCGCGTTTGTTGATAAGAGTTTTCCGCTTGTGCTTCTTTTCTTTTTCGTCTTCTTGTTGCCCCTCTTCTATTTCTTGCTGTTGTTAGGGTGCTTCGCGCTGCACTCAGCTTGGGGGGTGTTGTTGCTTGAGCCACGAGGTTTGGCTATGTTGCTGCTGTCGCAACCGGCAGCTATGGGATAAAGAGAAGGAAAAAAGCTGGATGAAGCTTGGCTAATCGCCTCAATTTTGGAAGGAAATGAGTATTATGACGTCCCACACGTGGAAACGCGATGCAATTGGGTGCAAAGCAGAGAGACAGGCACCAGTCGAGATGCGTAAAAGAATCTTGCACCTTTTGCTGGTCCTTTGGCCTGGGACTTTTTTTGAGGAATGGCTACCTAAAAATTCCCAGCTCTTTGCTTGGCCCATCCCCCCGTTCCCCGGCCGGTCGCCTGCCAATCCCTCCAAATGTTCGAGTCACGTGCGATGAGCTTCGGTTTAGCTCAGATCTGGGGCTCTCTCTGTCCAATCACTGCTGCCCCTGGCAAGCTCCGTCGAATGTCAGGGTGCCTTGCAGGCGTGCAGGAGCTCCCAGGCCCCCCCAAACAGCGGCAACGACCATCGAAGGCAGCTTTTAGCCTCGTCATCCAGCTCTACCTTACCATTTACCGCGTCCACCTTCAACCTCACTCGATCCCCACCTCATCTCTCGACGACTTCTCCCCGAACCCAACTTCGACGGCCACGACTGACGACCACAAACTTTCTGAACGAATTCGACGGTTTTTTAGACACGTAGGATAGCGACCGGGGTTTCCAGACAAGGCAGCAGCAACAATGCCCGGCTTCGACTTCTCAAACTACAACCGCAATGCGGCCCTCCACGCCCGAGGTGTCCCCCTCCCCAAGGCGACGAGCACAGGTACCACCATCGTAGGATGCATATTCGACGGCGGTGTTGTGGTCAGTAATCCCCATTCGATTCACGTCTTTGAGCAACGATGGCAACCTTTGGGATTCGCCTGGTTCCCCCCCTCTTTCCCATCTTGATAGCATCCCTCGCCTTCAACCGCAGCAGCTAACAGAGCGAGGTGCACTCTAGATTGCCGCCGATACAAGAGCAACCTCCGGTCCCATCGTCGCCGACAAGAACTGCGAAAAGCTGCACTACATCGCCCCCCAGATTTGGTGTGCAGGAGCCGGTACCGCCGCCGACACCGAGTTCACCACGGCAATCATATCCTCCAACCTCGAGCTACACGCCCTCTCCACGGGCCGCAAGCCCCGCGTCGTCACCTGCATGACCATGCTCAAGCAGCACCTCTTCCAGTACCAGGGCCACATTGGCGCCTACCTCGTCGTCGCCGGCGTCGACCCCACGGGAACCCACCTCTTCACCGTCCACGCCCACGGTTCCACCGATAAGCTCCCCTACGTCACCATGGGCTCCGGCTCCCTAGCCGCCATGTCCGTCTTCGAGACCCAGTGGAAGCCGTCCCTGACCCAGGACGAGGCCGTCAAACTCGCCAGCGATGCCATCCAGGCCGGTATCTTTAACGATCTCGGCTCCGGAAGCAACGTCGACGTCGCCATCATCACAAAGGACAAGACCACCCTCAAGCGCGGCTTCGTCAAGCCCAACGAGCGTAGCGCTAAGCTCAAGAGCTACGCCTTCCAGAAGGGCACCACGGCCGTGCTCAATGAGAAGATTATCAAGAAGAACGAGATTGGCCGTTACGTTAGCGTAACGGAGGTGCCGGCCGGTGAAGCGATGGAGGTTGATACCTAGATGCATGATGTTTACGAGGCAACCGGAGGTGGGGGGGTTCTTGAGACGTGCTAAATGAAGTACTCCCATATCGGGAAGATTCTGTACCAATACAATGATGGCAATAGACGAGACTGACGCAACCCGTTTCCCCCAAAAGTGCCAACTCTCCATCACTATTTTGGCATGGAACAGCATCGATGGTTTACTCAAAAGGGGCTTTAATAGCCGCTGTCTGTGGATGCTTCCACAAAGCTTTGGTCAGCATCCACTACTCTTGACATAGTACGGCCATTCGACCTCTTGCTAGCAGTTCATATCATTTCAACGTGGTTGCTCAATAGTTTGATTTCAAGAATTTGATCCATTGGCTACACTACCGCAACTGGGTAGGCAGACGCATTTTGTACGACAAAAGGAATCCCCATGAAGTACCCTATGAAGAGAGCCATTGCTTCCCTCCCAGAATAAAAAAAGACAAAAGTGGTATATACATAGGAATCAAGGGTATGTTCGATCAAGGTCTGGACACGCAGAAAGGACCCATCACTTTTTTGTCCCTATGTCACAAACCCAGAGCCTCTCCAAGACCCAAATCCCTCGCACACATTGTTAGAACAAAGTAGGGAGAGGCGTTCTTGTCCCCCCTCCCTTAGGTCACACTTTTTGAGACCTCGTTGAATACAGAAAATGGCACAATTCCTAGCCTCTGAGTTTTTAAATGCCCAGTAAAAACAGCTGCACTCCGCAGAGCCAGTCTTCCGAAACTCCGAAGATGCGGGGTATGAAGGTGATGTGTTGATGCAAGTGGTCATGATCCATGAAATGCCGCTAGACGCTCCGCGCAAAAAGAACTTCAAAAAGACTCATCGCTAGCCAGTCTTAATGCCGAACATGGTGCGCGTCCTCGACTTGCTGCGGGCATTTTTGGCAGGCTTGTCTTCGTCATTGTACTTTGACTTGTGAATCCTGTGATGGCGCTTGTCAGTACCAATATTCCGTTCCCTTGGAGGGCTACACGTAAAACATACCAGCTGTTGCCGACCATGTTCATCCCTTTGGCCTCAGCTTGTCTATAAAAGCCAGCGGCCTTCTTAAGGTTCTTCTTGCAGCCAACTCCTTGAGCGTAGCAAAAGCCTGCTTCGGCCAGTGCATCTACATCGCCCCAAGCTGTTCACACCATTAGCTTTATGAATCCGTCAAGAACATGCAATATCAACTTACATCCGGCGATCTCAAAGCATCTCAGGGCAAGAGCCTTGTCCTGCTCGATGCCCCATCCATTCATATGGCTCACACCCAACTCATAGATGCTGAGTGCGAACTGTGCCTTACGAGTTCTTCGCTCCATGGCATCCACAAACTTTCCTTCCTTGACATGGTCCTCATCATCGGCGATTTCAAGGCTGGCGCATTCAGCTGCTTTTCGCAGCCACTCAACACCCTCCCGCTGGTTGGGCCGCATGCCCCAGCCGTGTCTGCATGCCAGCGCATACAGAAGCATACCTGTCGGGTTGCCTCCCTTCGCTGCATGGCGAAGATGGTAGGTGGATTCCTTTACTGAGCCATTCTCATGGCATTCAATACCCTTGGCTAGGTGCTCCTCCGGAGACATGTCTGAAGCTGTCGGGGCACCTGACGCCAATGAGCGAGCCGCCTTGACAGTGCTGTTAGAATCACTGGTGGTAGTTGACATGGCAGTCTGACCACGAGGAGCAGTATCGTGGGCGTGAGAAATAAGGGCACGACCCCGAGAATCCTCCTCTGAAGCCCGGCTCTCGGTTGATGGACGGCTGGGATTGGGGGATGGCTGCGGGGCTGGGCCACCCCGATCGAGACTGCGCTTTCCTTGCTCGAAAGAAGGCTTGCCCAAGCTGAGGTTATCGGGCTCTGCTGAGCTAGATGGCCGGGTTGGTGGAGATGGAGGTGCTCCGCGTTGGATAGCTTGCACGTTGCTCGGAGCAGTCACGGGCTGTTCCCATTGAAAGGAAGCTTGCGGGTGAGGGTCGAGAGGAACAGATCGCTGCACGATCTTGCCTCGAGGAAGTGAGTACTTTGAATAAATGTACGAAGGAGCGGCCTTGCCATCGTCATGTACATGGTCGGGGAAGCCCTCGCTGTTCATGCTAACAGGGGTATTGGCAGAGTCGTCATTCGCAAACATGAATGACGGTTGGCTGTCAGAGGAGGCCTGACGCGTTGGGGTCTCCAAACCAGGTGTGCCGGCTCGGCTCATGGGCCTCGAAAAGTTGAAGGAGGGTCGCGGTAATGGCATGGAGGCGTCGGAGCACACGGAAGGTGAGCGTTGGAAAGGACCTGGGTTTAGGTTGGGTGACGCATTTGACGCCGCATAAGCGCTGCAACTCGAAAGTTTGCGCGGGGGCAACGACTGAACCGAGTTGCTCATGTCGTCGCTAGTATTTTCGAGGGGAGAAGACATGGAGGTCGCCGATCGTGCTGTGAAGCTCGGTCGCGGAGGAGCCAAGCCAGGTCCATCAAACGAGTGTCCTTTTGACTTGCCGGGCGATCCATTCAATGAGTTTTCGCGTGACCGTGCTGGCGAGAGCAGAGGTAGTGAATGGTCTTTTCGTGGAGGCGAGGTTTGCAAGTGAGAGTCGTTCGTGGGGTGTTCCATTGGCGTAGGAGACTGCTCTCTTCTTGCGCCAAAGTACGTCTCATCCTGGTGCTCCTCCATCGAATCCAGTACTCGCCCACGCATCATATCGGGCAGGGGCGTTGGGAGAGGCTCGTTCTCGTCGGGAGTAGGCGGGATGCGGCTCATTCGAGGGTGCACCGAGACCGGTCGATCTTTCTCAGACGGGAAGGCGTCCTCTACCTCGGTTCTAAGTCCCAATCCTGGGTTTTGAAGCTCAGGAAGTGGCATCTCGTCGGATCCTGAATCATTAGACATAGAGCGAAAGTAGTCTGACCGGCCCTGTACGACCAAAGGACTTTCAGTCGTCAGAGGTGGTAGTCTGCTCATGCGCCTTCCTTCGCCGCTCGCGGCAGCTTGGAGCTGTCTCGCCAACAGGCGACTCTGAAGAGCGAAGGCATCGAGAGGTGACAATTCCGGGGGTGCTTCGCCTGCGACGTGGAGTCTGGGGGATCGCAAAGGTCTCGAAACGTTGGACATGCTCGAGGGCGCCCGAAGATCGATGAAGTTTGGGCGTTGCGGCGACATGGTCGGTCGATTTCGAATCGCGTGTTACTTTAAGTTCCCATGCAATGCGATGCTGCTGTTTTGCAGGTCTCGTGTGAGATGGGGGAATCGACAACAGATAGAATGAACGATCGGGCGAGCCTAAGAAGTGGTCGGTGGTTGGAATCCTGGCGGTGCAGGTCGTGTCTTAGCCGAAGGATCGGTTATGGCGTCAGTCTAGAATGGAGGATGCCACATAGAGGTCGAATAACAGGTCGATGGCCAGCTGATGGTGTGGCTGCCGAGAATGCTACCAACCGCGCATGAGAACAATGAGGTCAGGATTGGTTAGACGCTCGAAAACGGGAGAAAGTTTTGATACGGGTCGAAGAGGGGCGGAAGAAGAAGCAGAAATGGAATCTGAGATCGAATATTTTGGAAACGGGTGTCGTCGTAGGGGCCTTCCTTTCAGTCGGTATTGCAGATGGATAAACAGGTTCGAGGATCGGTAGAGCGTTCTTTCTTAGAATCCAAGCAGTACGCACTAGCGGGAGGCGGGCGTCCGTTTTAGGCACTGCGGTCTGGCGGATAACAAAGAAGGCGCAGCAGCCAAGAGGGATGGTGGAAAGACGAAAAAGAGTGTTGGAAGAAAAAGAAGAGGATTCGAGGGTATCGAGAGACAACCTGAGGTAACCTGAGGTTAATTCAAACTGGCCGGCCGGTGCTTGGTGCTAAGTAAGGTAGGTAGCAAGAGGTCTCAGGCCGAGAGCAGCTGGAAACGGTTCCTTTCGACGCCTGTGCTGAGTATTGGTCCCGATCTGTCGCGAGGAACAGATGATGGAACACGGACACGAGGAGGGGAGGGGAAAGCCTGGGAGGGAAGGGGGGGGAAAAAGAGAAAAGGTCGAGAGGAAGCGAGACGAGAAGCGGGAAAGAAAGAATGGAAGCGATCTCTGTTTCCCCCCAGAATCGGATACGAGGGGGAGGTGATGAGCAGGTGCCAAAACGGCCGGGGGAGGCAGGCGAAAGAGGATGAACTGGGAGACGAAAGAGGGAAAGAAGCAATGCACTTGAGTCGCCCCGGGCTGGAACTGGTTGTAGTGCAATAGTACAGTGGTGCAGTTGGATTGAATTGGATTGGATTGAATTCCCAGAGGGGGGTGCACTTGGGCACTTGGGGCCCTTGAGAGGGGAGAGGACTCAGAAGTGACTTTCCACTTGTCAACTGGGACAGGGTGTTATTGGGCCAATCGTGGGGACGCAAGGAACAGACTGAGTTGAGTCTAGCACCTAACGCGACGCTACTACAGGGACATCAGTGCTCCGTAAGGTACCGTAAAGATGGAAAGCACCTTCCATACGACACACCAGACGTTCCCGTACTCAAGACGGTAGGAACGTTCCTGAGTGGAAATCCTGAAGTGGGTGCCTCCCAGTGGGGAGCACGGGCATCGAGACCGGTAGAGTGTAGGGGTACGTACCGCGGTACGTCCAAGGGATGAGTTAGCACCACCACATGTATCCGCAGCCACGACGGCGCCAGGGCCCCCCATGCGAGGCACGCCGCACGGAAGCAGGGGCGACAACAGGGGATGGCATCACAGGCGGACGCCCACGAAACACAGCAGGAACAACCGGTGAAAGTTGCACGCGCATTAGCAGCCAAAATATGCATTTTTACGCAGCCCAGTCCTCAAGTACATCAAGGTATGTATTCGTACCTATGTAAGGTACAGCAGCAGCAGCAGCAGCAGCATCACGTATTGAAACCCCTTAGTGTCTGCAGTTGTAAATCATGGCTGGCCGTCTGCCGATGGCGTTGTCTGGGGTGCAGGTACACAACAGTCATTGGATGGCATCGCATAGCAACACGATGCACTAACAGCAAGACCCAAATTTCCCCTTTTTCTTGTCTTGTTGCTCGTCCCCGTCTAATCCCTGCTTCCTGGCCCTGTAAGGTGCAAGGTGCAAGGTCTCTACCTCCGCCCGTGACGCCCCTCCTTCAACCTTTCAAGCCCTGTGGTGGCTGGCCCTGCGACTCCTTGCGACCCTGCGCTTCAACTGGAAACGGGGACGTCTCCAGTTCTTCTCTGTCGCTGTCACCTTGTTCATTAATGCCAATGCGTCGTCGTCCGTAGCAAACCGTAAGGTAGGTAGCGCGCCACAATCCGTTTTCCTTCTAGACCGTCGACGACCACGTTCACGCCGATTGTGTAGGTGGCTTGGATATTGTGACCCGAGGTCCGGTGGCAATCAGCAGCCTGGGACTTTATACGGAGTACTGTATATGAGTCTAGCTATGGCTGATATTCAATGCTCGGTCCGGTACGCGCCCGGTTTGGTCGTCAACATACGGGAGAGCCTAGGGCATGGTCAACTTCAGGTCAACGTGGGAGCCGCGCCTAGGTGCATAGCAGGAGTGTATGCCTTGTCCGTGCCTCTCGTCTCTGCGCCTGCCTGGACCTTATTTCATGAGTTTATGTACGTCCGTCGTTGCCATGATGAAAGATGCGGTGGGTGTAGATCGTAGAGCACGTCAGGTGGGCTTGCTTTGACATGCATAACGGTAAAGGGCACAACCATCTTCGGTACGGAAGCTGCGCTTCCTTTTCGCACCTTGGTATGAGGTGATGATCTCGTGTCGCCAGTTGCCACACCAAATGGAGAAAGAAAGACCAGAGGAGTGCCTTTCAGTCTTCAACATAGAAGTTACCTGGGGTGCCTAACCTAATAATCATGGAATCGCGGTTTTTCGTACCACCTACCTTGTGGTGTGAGTTGGCAGGTAAGGTATTCGGTTCGTACCTTCCCGAGTCTGTTGGCCAGAAGTTAGAATTAGAAGCAACAGCTTCCAGCTTAGAAGTAACAGCCCTGCCGCCGGTCATTCCCGCTTCCACTGCCGCTTCCTTCTCGTTCTTCCCAGCTTAGAGTACGGAGTACTACGTACAGTTCCTGCAGCAATAAGAATAGCCCTGAATAGCCCAGCCATCAACCTACTTTAAGCACCAAAGGCATTCCCGGGCGGGATGGGAGGAACTTTAACAGATAGGCACGTAGGAAGCGCAACAGCCTCTTCCCTCAGGCTCCAGGCTTCAGGTGTCGCTCATCACTGCCCATCTTAGCGAGAGCTGTTCTAGCGGCATCCTCGACTCAGCTTTCTTCTGAGCTGTCTTGAACCTGACGGAGCTCTTCCCATGCCCGGGCTTTACTAAGGCACTCACGCACTGAGCACTACCTATGCTAGGTAGCTAGAGAGGAGGAATTGTGCATACGAGGTATCCGCACGCTGCCCCGGACTGAAGTGCGTTTCTCGTCATTCCATTCCGTTTCCTTATTAGCGGATGGCCAGGAGACCTAACTTTAGCAACATTGTCGCTGCACTAACACGGGCGAAGACCCAGGCTAGAACACGCTGCGCCAGAAATCTGGACCATTCATCGAGCGATCAACGCCTGGCGCAACACCACACAACTCTGTTCTTCTCTTCCTCTCCAACCTAAGGTAGGTAAGCTCTTGACTCTCTCCGACTTCTCTTCCCCGCCGTTTCTCGGCGTACCTTACCAAGACGGCCGGGCGTTGTTATGCACAAACAGCTATTCGCTTCGTTGCTGTGCAAAATATTGTTGTGCGACTACTGTCCATGTCCACGATGGAGATTATCTTACTGCTAAAGGCCCACCATCCAGTACCTTTTCATCTACCCTGCCCAACCGTTCACACTAACGGACGCCAGCTCCAGATTTACGGAGCTGCTACGGAGCATCCTCCATCAACGAGACATGGCGATGTGTCGTCTTGATCGTCGGTCCCGTCCACTCGCGAATCACTCGTCAACGGGAGAACCCCCCAATGGAACGCACCCTTGGGTCTTTGACGGTTCGACCTGGGTGCTGGAAGGGCTTGAGCAGCAACTTCCCAGCAAGCAGCCCCATCAACAACAAAGGAACGGACGCCAAAATAAACCCATTGGTTCCCAAGAAACGGAGCCACATGCCACGGAGCGACGGTCCAGAACAACATAAACAATCAAAGTAGAAACCAATAGGTCGCACATGACGAATCGACGATGGCCTCACGGACAACAGCATCCCCTCTCATATCCGCTCCAAGCCTGTCGCCATCATTTATTTCCCTCCCAATTTTCTCTCGAATCCCACATGGCACATGTCCCGCATGCCGCCTGCCCTCCTTTTTCCTCCACTCCGAGAGGACTCTAATTATTTCGCTTCCCGCTCTCTGCAGCGCGATGCCCCTGGATTGGGAAGTCATCCCCGCGTTTCATTGGCTCGTCCCATGACCCAACAGAGTACGAAGCATCGTCGGGAAACCTTCTTTTGAACTTTTGAATTGCTTTCCCGTCTACTTTGGTATTCGATGTTGGTACCTATCCGTACGGAGTACCTTACAGCAGGTAAGACATGTGCCATTTGGGGACCGCGCTCATTACGACCTTCTCCCTATGGATACATACAACCTTAATAGTGCGACGTTGCAACATGCAGTGCCGCTGCAATTGCCAATAGCCTTCCTATGGTCTATGGGGCATGGTCCGGGACCCTTCTTTTTTTGTTTCCCCGGCAAGAATCAAGAAGGAAGACTGCCCAAGACGGTACGGGGTCACGGAGGATTACACCTCGAAAATTTCTCTGCCAACATATGACCTGCATGGACTGCCAATTCAAGGACGGGAAATTTACAAAACTCAACTTTCTTTCGGCTGGGGAAATTACACGGCGGCTCACTCCCACGTCGATCCTGGAGGCCGCGTCAACAAAACACACAAAAGCACCTGTGACGATGCACCAATTACCGAGCACACTTCAGTTGACGGCGACCTCTGCAAAAGATGCGAAGAATACGCAAAGATGCGCGGTCCCATCATTGCCAGCCGCGGTCTCGACCTGAGTATCCGGGGTTTCGGCTGTGCCCATGCTCGTCAATGTCATTCACAACTCAACGTCACTGGCAACTTTTCAACAACCATCAGACTTACGGTACTATACCGTGTATGTATATCAACCTGTCAGGTCGTTTCAGCCTGCGGCCATCATCCCTTCTGTCGGTGCCTCTGCCGTTCGTTCATTCGTTGCACTCGGGGTGCCCTCAGATGAACCCATTTTAACGGTTTATGTGGACGCGACCAATGATGGAACGTGAAGACTCCCCCAACTTGCAGCTTCCGCCATGTGAGTAAAATAATTATTCCTTTTCTGAAGGGTCGATTTTCTCCTCCTTTTCCCACACAATAGTGTGGCACGAATGCATAAGGGTATCTGGGACGCAGCTCCTCCGGCGCATTCACTGCGGACTCGGATGTTCTGCCCATTGACATTCTCTGACAAAAAGAACTCCTCCTCCCCCAATTTTTTTTCCTTCTTCTCCGTCCTCCTCCACAATCCCCTGCATGCAAAGTGCAAAAGATTCAGGAACGACGTTACCCTTCCGATGGGCTTCTAGCTTCTGTGAGACAAGTGGCTTGTTTCGCGCCCGACTCAGATGCACGAATGGGGCCACCCACAGAGCACCACAGAGCACCACATTTATTAGACACTCTTTTTTCCCAATACGAGGGTTGACTGCTCGCGTGGCTCGTGTACGGTGTACCGCATCGAACACGGCCGCGATGCGGCGGGTGGTGTTGGAGTGGCGAACTAAAGTGCTAGCGATGGACGTCGTCAATCGTTAGGGGAGGTCTAGAACTTCACTGCAATTCCGTCCAACATTGTTCAAACTTCAGCGCATCTCGTCCCATCTTTTTTTTTTTTCGCCTGTCAACTCCCACCATTCCCGCCAAGGTGACCAAGCCACACCTATGTACTTCGACAGGATGGGCCCCCGGTTACAGCTGCCGATTCATCCCACCGAATCGCACCCCAAATCACAGTACACAAAGCAAGCCTCTTCCTTGGCGGCATGAAGTTGTCTCGTCTGGTCACGACTCACTGTGGCGCGCATAGTGATAACGGCCACAGAAACATGATATCACCCCTCCACCCCTCCCTTCATCTTGAGTGCAGCCATTTACGTGGCGGCGGGCGGCGGCGACGAATGAGAACCTGTGAAGTTGAAGATACTCGCTATTCAATGTCTGATGTAAACCCCTCCTCGCTGGGCTCCGGCATATACCTCTGCCAGGGCCAGGAAGACTGGATGCGATGCATGAGATATCTTGAGTAAAGTGCTTACTCTCTAGAGTCCCATCACGGCCAACTTCTGTCCGCGGCGGAGTGCGCTTCCCCCAGCATTCTATACCCGTACGCATATGCAGTAAACTTGTCCTATCAGTAGAAACCTGTTTCTGTAGTCATCTTGAAACCCAGCTTCTCCAGTCGCCTTACAAAGGCATCTTTCTTTGCCATTTAGAGTTGCTCGTCAGTATCAAATACATCACTCCCCAAAAGCTAATTCGTCTCGATAAGGCACTCTGTTTTTTTTTTCTTCGGTATATCTCTTAGCTCTTTGCAAAGGGTATCAAAGCCAGACGCCGTTTAAGACGGATGGACGGCAATGAACTGAGACCGTTTACGAGAGTTATCTTGTTTGTTTCTACCATGTAGGTATGTACAGAGCTGAAGCTCGTGGCCAAAGATGTGCTATAATTGTCCTACCTACCCTTCACGTCGCATTTTCCACGAGCCGCAGCAAACCATTGTTGGCCAGGTGGTCGGTCTCGTCGTCAACCTTTGCCTCCCCCCACCAGCTTGCGTCAACGGCACAACGGAAAGGAAATAAAGTTTTCCTCTCAGCTGAACAAGATGCTCAGCTCGTTTTCGAGTGTAAAGCGTGGTATGTTTAGACCTGGCCGGTTTTTTTATTCCTCGTGATCTGCCTCGTCCGCACTCTAGAAGAAAAAAAACTTGGTTGCTAGAAAACACAAAAAGACCTATCGGCCCCGCCATTTGCTGCGATTCGGCCCCCCGTCTCCTGGGCCCTCCGGGAAGGGAGGCGCAGCTGCAAAAAATACGCCATCCGTCGTTCAACGCCACCTTCCGACCTCCCCACAAGCCCGTTGGTTTTTAGGCCCTACCGAGGCTCAGATGCCAGGTAATCGGTGAAAAAGCGTTTTTTGATGATTTCGGTGAGTAAAGTAGAGTGGTTAGGGTGGTTGTTGGAGGGGCAATTATCTGGCAAAGACCCCATTGAGCCCCTCCTCTGGCCCCTCCAAGGGTAGCTTTCCTCTAAGAATAGCTTCGTATGAGCCTCTTTGCTCACGAAGCAACCATCCGCAAGGTTCCGTTTCGTTACCATGAGCCAGGTCGGATGTTCGGAGTGAGTATGGAAGCTGTGGACGTGGGGGGGGAACCCCACATCTTCTCAATCTCAAGTCTTTACCATCGATCAGAGTGACGTGTCTGCCCAAAAATAGTATTCCTGGGTTGCTCCAAGCGATGTCAAGCTCGTAACCTGAACACCACAGCTCGCACATGTACCAGGGCAAGTATACCATGCTCATCGCCTTTGTCCACCAAAGCTTGCGCGGAGCGCCAGGATCTGTTGTCTCTCTGCCTCGGGGAGCATGTTGATCGTCTCCATCGGCAGTTCCATAACCTGCCGCATGAGAGCGTCGGGGTCTTGACCCAGAGGTGCAGCAACCGGCGGGGGTGCGCCATAGGGAGTTTGCTGCGGGGGAGGCGCGTACGGCGTGCCGGCGACGGGCGGGGTGTTGTTAGCTCCCATCACGGGGACCGGCGGGAAGCCGGGGGTGGGCTGTGGCGGGTAACCGATCGGCGCGGCCTGCGCTGGGGGCGCCGGGGGCGCGCCGCCAGGCTCGATGACGGAGTGGATCGCCTCGGGAGACACCAGACCCATGAGCAGGAGAGCCTGGAACACGGCGTATGCCAGTTGCGGTGCCTGCTGGAGAAGTTCCGTCGCCCTGGCGGGGTCGGTAGAGGCTAGCGCCTTCATCTGTGTGAGAATATCGAGGAGTTGAGACGGGGGAAGGGTGTTGAGAGTCCGTGAGATGGCATCGGTAGCTGTGACGTTCGGGGGCAGCTCCTTGCCGGCTGGGAGAGGAGGCAGCGTACTCGACTGCATCGGCGGCGCGACAGGGTTGTATCCGTTCGAGGCGTGGGAGGGGTTGCCGCCATCTCGGCCCTGCTTCCATTGTCAGATTCCAACTACGAATGCCGGGCTGTATCTCTATACGTACGTGTCCGTGGCTATCATTGTTGTCGTCACTGCCGCCCTCATTGGAAAAGTCGACCCTAAGTTTCCTTCCCATAATCTCATAGTCGTTCAGGTTGCGGACAGCCGATGCCGCGGAGTCTGCGCCGCATGGTCAGTCAAGTCTGTATTTTAAGAGCAGTAGGGTTCTCTTGAGAAATACCATTGTCTGGATATTCTGCAAAGCCGAAACCCTTGGGCCGTCCGGTTTCACGGTCGTAGACTAGGCGGAAGTTGAGGACCTTGCCGGCGCTGCTGAAGATGTCGCTGATCTGCTCCTCGGAAAGGCCTAGGACAATTGGTTAGAGACATAGATTGTTATGGGAAAGTCGTTCCTACCATAGGGGATATTGCCCACGAAGACAACTCTGGAAGGCGGCTTCGACATCGCGGTATGAAGGTTCGATGGTCGGTACACAAGACTCGCTCAGTACACGCTCGCCAAGGCGGTCAAAGGGACGGCGGGTATCGCGTTCGTTGTAAGGTTCGCAGCGTTGTCTTCTTTCGGTATCGATTCTTCGATTCGAATTGCCGTGGGTATCTATTTGATTCAGTCGAAAGAGCGGCGCAACGGTGATGAGTTCTTGGAGGTTGCCTTCTGAATCAGAAAGCAACGCATTCCCCAGCCTTGACTACCAGGCTGGGATTTTACAGTGGGGACGGGAAGCGCGCAGCTTAAGCACGAGCCATCTGATTCTGGATTGCTTCTAGTGGTCTAACGGCATCTTCCATTGGCCAACGGCCGACAATTACCCAGGGACCCGGACCCACCCGCCCCGTGCGAGACCCCTGACAAGATGCACCTTTAGCGCAATTGAGAGCTGGACCGTGGACGGGCTGCGTGGCCAGAAAACGAGTGAAGGTGGCCTCTACTTTACTTTGGATTTGCGCAACTCCCAAGGCTTTGTGAGATCCAATCCTCCTACCTTGCTTCCAACTCGACTTTCTCGCGTCGACCCTTCTCTTCTCATGGTTCAGGCGGGGTCTCTCACTTCCTGATATCACCTTTTACCTCTCCGCCACTCCTTTTAGCGTTATTCTGCTTGGCGCATTGTTGCGAAAGTACGACTTTTTGGCCTACTCCCGTTGATTCTTCCCACAACGCTTACGAGGCTACCCCAAACTCGCGATAGAGATCGACAGCTCTTGATAACACACTCCTCCTCCCGAACTCACCATGCCGGCAAAATCGAGATTCACAAGGCTCGACGCCTTCACAAAGACAGTCGACGAAGCACGCATCCGCACAACGTCTGGTGGAATTGTCACTATCGTGTCGCTGATCGTGGTCTTCTGGCTGGCCTGGGGAGAATGGGTTGACTACCGGAGGATAGAGATCCACCCCGAGTTGATCGTGGACAAGGGAAGAGGTATGAAGCCCTGGCAGTCTCCCCTATTCTGTATGGGAAGTAGGAGCTAATGTGTGCCCGGTAACAGGCGAGCGCATGGAGATCCATCTCAACATGACTTTCCCCAAGATGCCCTGCGAGCTTCTCACCCTGGACGTCATGGATGTTTCTGGCGAGCAACAGCACGGCGTTCAGCACGGTATTAACAAGGTTCGCCTTCGTCCCCAGAAGGAGGGTGGTGGTGTCATTGACATCAAGGCCCTGGATCTGTAAGTTGCTGCAAATGTCGCTTCTGCCAGGGAGCTTTTTCTAACACCTTCCGCCAGTCACTCCCGTGATGAGGCTGCTGAGCACCTGGACCCCAACTACTGCGGCCCCTGTTATGGCGCCCCGTCACCGGCGAACGCGCAAAAGGCCGGATGCTGCAACACCTGCGAGGAAGTCAGAGAGGCGTACGCGCAGGCTTCGTGGGCTTTCGGTAAGGGCGAGAACGTCGAGCAGTGCACGCGCGAGCACTACGCCGAGCGATTGGAGGAGCAGCGCCAGGAGGGCTGCCGTATCGAGGGTAACCTGCGCGTCAACAAGGTCGTCGGAAACTTCCACCTTGCCCCTGGCCGCAGTTTTAGCAACGGAAACATGCACGTCCACGACCTCAAGAACTACTGGGACACCCCCTCCGATGCCCAGCACGACTTCACTCACACTGTTCACTCACTGCGCTTCGGCCCCCAGCTGCCTGACACCGTCACCAAGAAGATGGGCAAGCGCGCCGCTGCGTGGACGAACCACCACGGTAACCCTCTCGACAACACCCACCAGGAGACCAACGATCCCAACTACAACTTCATGTACTTTGTCAAGATCGTGCCTACCTCCTACCTCGCTCTCAACTGGCAGAAGGGATCCAACCCCGAGGAGGAGAACTCTGGCCTCGGTCTTCTCGGTCAGGGAAGTGATGGCAGCGTCGAGACTCACCAGTACTCCGTCACGAGCCACAAGCGCAGCTTGGCTGGCGGCGATGACTCTGCCGAAGGACACCAGGAACGCCTCCACTCTCGTGGCGGTATCCCGGGAGTCTTCTTTTCCTACGTAAGTTCCTACATACCCGCGTCCCCAACTTCCTTCACTCACATGAACGTGTCCAGGATATTTCTCCCATGAAGGTCATCAACCGCGAAGAGCGCGCCAAGACCTTCACTGGTTTCTTGACTGGCCTTTGTGCTATCATTGGCGGCACTCTCACCGTCGCCGCCGCCGTTGACCGCGGTGTCTTCGAGGGTGGACTGCGTCTCAAGAAGATGCGCTCCAAGGACATGTAGATTAAAGAGATGGAAGACCTGGGGTTGTAAGTAGTCAATATGTGGTGGAATTATTTCGTACGCTGTGCATCAAAAGTGGAGTTTGGGTGGCTTGGTAAAGAAGGCTTCATCGTTTCAATCAATACATAAATATCAGATGTGCCATTGGTGTCTATGCGTCCACCAGTCTCCCTTCACGTGCCATGCCTACCTGTAAATATATCTTGTACCGATCACTGTAACCTTTTTGGTAAACGATAACAGCTTATATTCAAATTTGTATGTTCAAATCGATGTGTGTCCATGACTTTAGGCCTTTGTAGGAACACTCCATGGGGAATTGAGATTCATCATTTGCCTATCAAACATGACCTCAAATGGCAAAACGAGTCTTGAGATTTGGGAATGTCGCATGTTCTATGAAATTCGATTATCTTGCAAATACGTACGCACTCCCGTTCTGCTTTCTCTGGTTCCAGACCATGGGCTGTAGGATAATCTATCCATGCGTTCCCGATCCCCGAATTGATAGAGCTCGTAGATCGTGATGACCTCTGAGATCCATGCCCAATTATGCGCCAAAGGCAAAGACGAGAAGGCACTTTACAAGAAACACTGAGAGAGAAATATGACAGCTTGCAAGAATGACCACGTACAAGGAGGGTTAAGGGGCTTCAAACAGTATCAGGAAGAAAGAAGGGAAAAAGAAGGCGCCTGTGGGATTCGAACCCACAAGCTCCAGCCCGGTAAATCTGCTCTCAGGATTGGGTTACGAATATCTTTGTCTTCTGGGCAACTTTCCCTTTCTTGCTGTTGTTGAGATTTTCCGAGGTGAATCAGCATATAGCCCACCCCACGCTCGCGTATCCCCGTGTATTGGGAACAAGGAAAAAAAACAGGCTGGAGAAGTCAAAAGAGTTCACCCCCCCACCCCCCCCGGTGGCGAACGGGGGCTACATCTCTGGTGCTCATGCTGGGACTCGAACCTGGAACCTAGTGTAGGCTAAGCCAGTCGACGAGGCTCGCCCGTAACCATCCCGCCAAACGGCAGTTTGACCTGACCTCACAGGCCTGTGAGGCGCCTGCTGCCGTTGGTGACGGAATTGGAATTGACGGGACCTATATGGGCTTCCCGGTGTAGTGATTCGTTCCCGTGTGTTCATGGCTCCCGTGGAGTCTACGGGAAGTTGACGGCAGGAGGCACCCACGTGATTTAGCGAAAGTGTTTGCTACAGGATTATTGCCGCCCGTTGAGTCGGGAGGAGGATACCTTTTGAGCATGATGGTTCATCCACTACGCATTGTCATTATGTAGATATGAACACGGAAAGCAGACTCTGTGATCTTGAACGTGGACTAGCTTAAAAGCCTGCGGCCATCATTATGACCTTGGCCCTCGAGTTACGCTACGATGTGTTTTCAGAATACTGTATCCTTTCTATCAAACTGGCCTGGTACGGAACGTACAATATTTCACTTTAGAAGTACGACGTGTAAATTTATACTGCTTTTGTCATTGCTAACATTATCATTTTGTTGAACTTCTTCGTTCTCCGTATAATATTCTAATCGTGTGCCCCGGAATATCAAGGCTGCAAATCGTCTTACGAACAGTGGAAGCTGTTAAGGTAGTTGTAACAGAAAAGGGGGTAGACGAGGCTGTGTTCTCATAGCGCAAGGCACTCAGTAGGTTAGACAATGACATGCCGTCTTTCAGGTTCTCCTACACCCAGATACTGCCTCCATGGCTAGTAAACCAACACTTATATTAGGGCTATAGTTCTTTATCGAATTATCATCTTGATTTAGACATGGTGACTTCATGGCGCACTTTTGGAGTGAGATTTCATATTTCGTGATATAGGCAAGTTGGTAACAAAAGTAGTATGTGAGCCTACACACAAGTGCCCGCCGTCGAGCTGGTTCGTAGTACAGGCCTCATTACACCATGCGCGGCTCATGCAGCTCAGGTTTCGCCATTCCTCGAGTCTTTCATAGGTTATCCATCGTCTCGAGCTCATTCGGCTTCATTACAGCACAAAAGTCATCACACAGTAGCTCACGAACGAAGACACCAAGTGATACGTAGGTTTGCCATTTTTGGATACTTCAAGGACACGAGTGAGTCGAAATAGTGGTAGCGTCATATATCATCCTTTTAGTACCCGAGCCGCGTCCTGGTTTATACCACGCAAGAAGCTTTCATGAAACCAGCCTCATTCTTTCATAACACCACGTATGTCGAACACCTCAACTCCACGACAAAATCCAGTAGCTCTAAACTGAGTGACAAGACAAGGAAGTAGAGAAGGCGATTGCAATATCCTACACTGGTTCCAAAAATAATAATGAGGCTACGAAGGAGACATCGCGGCACCTTTTGTGACAAGAAACTCATCCAAGGCCGTAGCTTGTGCCGGTGTGTATCCGTTCCCGTTATTTGAAGCAGGTACGGGCGTTTCCGTCACCAGGCAGACCGTGTTCTGTAAAGTACGATTAGTCACTTGCATAATGCGATGGTGATGAATCAAATCCTGCCGGGCAGCAGTAGAGCGTGCGTCAACTTACCATTCCCAGAACTGCGGCATCCAGCCGATCAAACATCCTCCACAAACGATCGTTATTCTTCGTAAAGACGTAACCAGCCAAGCCGACAGGGGTGTCGTTCGCCCTCATCACAACCTCGTCTTCCGTGTCGAACACGTACAGGCCCAGCACGGGGGCGAACACTTCCTCGCGACACATGAGCATCGAGTCCGTCATGCTACCCAGCACAGTCGGCGCCATGAAGTACCCGTCACCAGGCTCTCTCCTTCCTGTGCCGAGAAGCTTGACGGCCCCCTTTTCCGTCGCGTCCTTGCACAGCGCCTCCGCCTTGTACAGCCCGCGAATCGTCGTCAGCGGGCCCAGCGTCGTATCCTTGGCCATCCCGTGCCCGACCTTGAGCTTCGACGCCTCTGCTACCAGCAGCGTGGAAAACACATCATACACCCGCCGCTGCACGTAACACCGGTTCGGCGCGACGCACGCCTGCCCCGCGTGCCTCCACTTCAGCGCCGCCAGGTCCTTGGCCACCTGCCCGAGGTCCGCGTCGTCGAACACGATGGCCGGGCAGTTGCCGCCCAGGTCGAGCGACAGGCGCTTCAGGTTCCGCGTGCACGAGGCGGCGACCCGCTTCCCGACGCGCGCGCTGCCCGTGAAGCTCACCGCCTTGACGAGCGGGTGCATGCACAGCGCCTCTGACACCACGGGCGTGTTCCCCAGGCTCGTCGTCAGGACGTTGATGGCGCCGGCGGGGAAGCCCGCGCGGTCGGCGAGGCAGGCGAGGGCGAGGGCCGTGAGCGGGGATTCGGAGGATGGTTTGACGATGACGGTGCAGCCGGCCGCTAAAGCTGCTGCGGCTTTGCGGAGGGTGAGGGCGAGAGGGAAGCTCCATGGCACCAGGGCGAGCACGACGCCGATGGGCTGCTTGAGGAGCGCGCCGCGCTTGCTTGGGAACGCGCCGGTCGCGGGTGTCGAAGTGGGGGCGGCGCCGTCGTCGTCGGATGTGGGGGAGGAGACGCGGGATGCGGCCGGCGACGGTAATTGTGGAGTTGTTGTCGGTGGTGGAGGCGGCGGTGGCGGCGGCTCCAGTCGGTCTGCTTCGCCGGCGAACCAGCGGACGAGACCAGCGCCGTAGTCTACTTCGGCGAGGGCCTCGGTCAACGGCTTCCCTGTTTCGTGAACCAGAATTGTGGCCAGGTCGAGGCGGCTAGCGAGGATAAGATGATGCCATGAGGTCAGGAGGCGAGCGCGCTCATGGGCCGGGGTATGCTTCGAGAAGCCCTGGAAAGCGACGTAGGCGGATTTGACAGCGGGGTTGACGTCGTCTCTGGTGCTATCCGGACATGTCGCCCACACGCGACCGGTGCCCGGGTCGAGGACCGCGAATCGTTTGTTACTGAGGGAGGAGACCCATTCGCCGTGGATGTGGCAGTCGCGGCGGAGTAGGTCCACGTCTGTCAGCCTGAACGGGAGCGGGAACGACGGCGAGATGGGAGTGAGGCTGTGGATCACGAGGCTGTTCTTGTGGCTCTTGGCCGTCGAGGTGCCGGAGGACGAGGTGCTGGCTGTCGTGATGGTGCTCGCGACGGGGGATGTTACCGCGCTGATCATTGTTGGTGAGAATGAGACCCTTCGTCGATGGGAGGAGTAGTCTTCCCGACCGGGCTGGGCAACGGAATGCCTCCGCATCGGACGCCCTAAGAGGTGAGGAATGAGTGGATTTGGCAGCACATACACATACACACACGATATGGTGTTGAGAAACCAGTTTGACTTGGGACCCAAGGAAAGGGGACGCAAACACCTACCGGACTACTGGTAATATTAGCAATGCTGACGAGGCGCCCGTCCAGGTCCTGGGTGATTCGGGAGGCGGCGGAGAATTTCTCCCCTCTCCTCACGGCGTGGCATCGGTGCCCGACTGTTGCATAGTGGTAGACTTCGGGGGAAGGGATCCGAGGTCGAATGAGATCTGCGAGGTCGGGAATACACATGTTTTAAGCTCTGCCCCTAGGCGTCATCTGAAGCTTGATGTCGGTGTTGTTGCAAAGTCTCCCATAATAACCTACCCCTGGCTTCGAGTAAGCGGCCCAAGCTCCGTGCCTACGGCTTTCCTTCCCCCCCTCCCCCTTCTGCTTTTCTTGTCCGAGACCGAGACAAGCGGGCCGCCCCGGATTTACAGCTTTCAATCCATCTATGGCAAGTGGCAAGTCACAGAACGTATCTGGTTATGCTGGCTCGGACTCATGACGAAGAGAAGGGCGGAGTTCATCTGAGCTCGGGTAGAGACGCGGTTGACAAGTAATGCGGTTCTGAAGAACTTGAGGGGAAAACCGTTCAGGAAAAACGGACAGGATTCGGATGATAGGAGAAGAACTGTGCGCTCACGAACTGAGTACTAGCGGGAGTTAACAATCCGGGGTTGACGGAAATGAGCCGCATGAGCCAGAGAAGCGTAGTATTTAGTGAAAACTTTGAAGAGTGTGTCTCCCACCGGCAGTGCTCTCTTCTAACACTTTCTCAAACAAGAGAACAGATGCTTGCTACGACGTCTAGTAATAGGACGTGCTTGCGCTCCTGTAATCCGGTCTCGATTCAGGATATCCTCCAGGTGGCCCAGATACGCCTTTGCCTTCGTCATCGGAGCTCAGGGCATCTCCGTAGTCGTCATTCCTCTCAGGCGGCGCGCGCATGGCTTCCAAGATGCTGCGATCCAACACTGGCGGCTGATACGGCTTGAGGGTGTGTATCTCACGGCCAGATGGCATCTGAGCCAGCAAGGGCCCAATCGGAGGCACGATCTGGACATTCATCTATGCATAAATTGTGAGCCTCGCAGTCACCGACCTTGGACGTAACATGGCTTACCGTGTCATTGAGCTTGTGCCACTTGCCTTCAAGCAGCTCGATCACTCTCGTCTCCTCGCCCTTTCCGCCATCCGCGCCCCACGTTGTCTCCTTTTCGACCTTGCGATCCTCGCGTTTCTCGCTCCACTCCTTTTTGAACCGGCTGAAGCCACTACCTTTGGCTGAATGTTTAGACTCAACGCCTAATTCTTGGAGTCCGGCTTGTAGCCACGCGATGGCCGTGCCAACTTGGCCACTAATCTCTGAGTCTATGCCAAAGAAACGACAAGCCTTTGCGCGACATGTTCTTCGCAGATCCTCGAGATAGCGAAGCAGTCCCTCGTTGATCCTGCTGGAACCCCGCCCCGCAGCTTGGCAAAGAGAGGAGGCCTGGGCGGCGTGCTCCGCAGCAGCAAGACAGAGTCGCGCGAACAAATGGGCACGAACTTTTGGAATCTCGGGGGCTTTGAACATCCACTCGCGGTCGTTCTTGTTGCGGTCTTGTGCGACAATGGCTGGGTAGGGATCGTCCTTGAGAACCGCCAACAGTGTCGCCTCGGCGAGAGCCAGGGACGACATAGCTCGAAGAGTCGAGGGTGATACATCGCTACAGGGTGGCGGGATCTGAGTTCTCTCAGCCCGGGAAGCTATATAGTCGCATATTGATGCGGCATCCAGGAGGTATTTGGTCGCTGTTTGAATGGAAGCTGTCCGCTGCTGATTATCCAACGTGGCCTGTGTTGTGACGTACAGCGGGTGAAGGGCTGCCCGAGCAACTAAAGTGTATGAGTTTGCCAGAGATGAGAGAGTGAAGGCAATTTCGTGGTCTATGGACTGCACTTTCACCCTCGCTCGCTCTCTGCCGGGCACTGCATTCTCCGAAAGCGTTGGTCGCCATTCGATGGAGGGCGGTGCCTTTGTGTTGAGGTTGATCCAGTCGCCTGACTGGGATGTTGGATTTAGTCCAGCATCAATGGCGAGAATATAGGGGATGTAGCCGTTGAGAGCTCCAATGACTGTCGAAACGTGAGATGATTGCGATGCTGGGGGTAGTCTCTTGTGTTTTTTGAGAGCATCTCTCACAACCCCGCGATATGTGCTGGAACTGAGGGGCAATGAGGGGTGAGTGTCGCTGCTAAAACTGGATGAGAATGAGAAGGCCGAAGTTGTCGGAAGAACAAAAGGGAAAGGCATGTTCAGGAGGAGCTGGTTACCAGCCGAAGTCAAGATGGTGTATGATGAGAAATGTGTATGAGAGTCAAGGATCGTCCACTCACTAACATGGAAAGCTGCCAGAGAGACAGGTACCTCGCTGTGACGTTAGATGTCCCGGATTACCTAAAGCAGCCCGTTGAGGCTAACGCATCTTAACTTGTCGACCCCAGACGCGGTCACGTGTTTAAGACCAGCATTCCCCGGTTGCGATGTAGAGGACCCAGAGCTGAGTTGTTACAGGCCATTGCTGAGGCTCGATTTCGAAATGGCAAAATTTGAAGCCGTGTCACTTTCCATCCAACATTGGAAGTTGTTGGCTCCCGAGGTTGAGATTCAAGCTCTCAGTCATACAGGGTCAGGGTTGTATTTCACCAGATCACACAAGTAAAGTACTGCGCATTTAGACAAAAGACGTCTTACCTAACAGCACAGAATATGGTTGGAACATATTCATTGTTGCAATCTTCTTAAAGAGATACAATTGCAAGCAAGTAAAAACCAAATCTTCGCCTTATCAGTCACAGCAGCCCCAGATTGTCCCTGCTTCTTTGATTGAAGAATTCATGGAATGTTTGGACCAAGGGAACGGCTAGCGGCAGGAAGGTACCTGGCGATCCGAACCTGCCTTTAGCGGCCGGGATGTGGGGACCTTAGGTACAGGACCTACAGGTTGAATGAAGCACCAGCTGTCGGCTTCGTTAACGCGACGTGGACCCTTGGATTTCAGCATCACCTCAGCGAACCTCCCACTGCCACCACGACCTTGACAAAGCCAATTCGCCGTCTCCAGGCAATTCTTCACTCCCTTCTGGCACCTCATGCCGCACATTGTCAATCGACTGGATACCGACTGAGCTGCCATCATGATCAGTCCATCTCCCCACAAACCCCGGCGCAGAGGCGGCAAGAAGACCAACGGTGGAAATGGCACTGGCAGCAGTACACCCACTGTGGAAAGCCACCTCACCAAGAAGGAGGCTCTGGTCAAGGCCCCAATCTTCCCTTTGGCTTCGTTTCTCTGGCCAGCTCGAGGCTCTGTATCGCAATGGGAGGTCCTTCCCCTGATCCTCATGGTGGTTGGCCTGTTTAGATGGGCAGCTGGGCTTTGGGGGTACTCTGGTAAATGCGCTCTGGAACACCGATGAGAATTGACAGCTCTTGCTAACCATGCCACTCATCTTAGGTTTCCAACGACCACCCATGTTCGGAGACTACGAGGCGCAAAGACACTGGATGGAGATCACAACACAAATTCCCGTCTCGCAGTGGTACTTCCACGACCTGCAGTGGTGGGGTCTCGACTACCCGCCCCTGACGGCATACCATAGTTGGCTTTGCGGCAAGGTTGGAGCCTTCATCGACCCTACTTGGTTCGAGCTGTACACCTCGAGAGGATCCGACGACCCGACTCTGAAGATATTCATGCGCGCCACAGTCATTGTCTCCGAGTACCTCATATACATCCCCGCTGCCGTCATCTTCGTACGACGCTTCTCTAGACACAGCAATGTGCCGACATGGACCGCTTGGATGGCGCTCGTCGCAATCTTGATGCAGCCCGCTACGATTCTCATCGACCACGTTCACTTTCAGTACAACACTGTCATGCTTGGACTCGTCCTGGCGAGCATGTCGAGTATGCTGGCTGGCCGCTATCTCTGGTCTGCAGTCTTCTTCGTCGCCGCCCTTGGCTTCAAGCAGATGGCCCTCTACTATGCCTTCTCCGTCTTCGCGTTCCTCCTGGGCAGCTGCGTTTTCCCCTTGAAGCCGGGCCGCTTCGTCGGCATCGCCCTGGTGACCGTCGCGGCTTTTGCGCTTCTGCTTCTGCCCCTGGTGTTGGGCACTCTCTACGACGCTCATCGAGGCATTGATGCGCGGCCTGACTATGAGGGGCCGCCGCCTGCCTTGCCCCTCTTCCCGTGGCTGACCGACGTCCTCGATACCAACGCCATTTACTATCCGGTAGTCGAGCAATTGGTGCAGATGGTTCATCGCATCTTCCCTTTTGCGCGCGGTCTTTTCGAAGACAAGGTCGCCAACTTCTGGTGTGCCGCCAACGTCGTCATCAAGCTTCGCAACTACCCTCCCGAGCTTCTCCAGAGAGGCGCACTTGTGGCTACATTGGCCTCGATCATTCCGCCCAACCTGATTCTGTTCTTCCGTCCGCGCAAGTCACTTCTTCCCCTGGCCTTCGCAACTACGGGATGGGGGTTCTTTCTCTTTAGCTACCAAGTACACGAGAAGAGTGCGCTACTCCCTCTCATGCCCATGACAATGCTTTTAGCCGGTAAGCATGGACTGTCGCGAGATAATCGGGCTTGGGTTGGATTTGCCAACGTCTTGGGCGTGTGGACGATGTTCCCCCTCCTTAAGCGGGTAGACCTCAGCGTCCCGTACGCCGTCCTGACATTGCTGTGGGCATACCTTCTTGGTCTCCCGCCAACATCTCTGAGTGCCTACTTCCAGGAGGATCACGGCAAACTGCGCCAGTGGGCAACATTCCTTCTCCACGGCGCGTTCTACGTTGCCATGATTGCGTGGCATGTGGTCGAGAGAGTAGTGGTGCCGCCCATTGACAAGCCCGATCTCTGGGTGGTTGCAAACGTGGGTGTCGGTGCGGTGGGATTCAGCATTTGCTACCTCTGGTGTCTATTGCAGTTGATTGTGCAGAGTGACATTCTGCCGACGAGAGGAGGCGCGAAGGACAAAGCAAAGAGCCAATAGATAGAAGGGCCGACTAGCAATGGTCTTGTACATGACAGACGGACGAGTCTCTTGAGGAAGAGAGCTCATGTAATAACAGCACGGATTTCAGAAAAGACAAATGAGCATCGGAAAAGCAAGGTTTTTGTTTTGGTAAATTGAGGTGAATAGTACATGAAAACACTTTTAAAGGCCGAAAACGATGCTATTCTACCACCTGGCGATGCACCTCGATATCTAGGAAGAACAGAAGGAAAACAGGGAATCTCATGATTATCCACAATCGCCTAGTCCTGACTTGACTTTGTATCTTTCTCTGAGGCTACAGTTATGATGATGCCTGTCCGGGGGTTTGAGAATCACGAAACCTGCACAAACGCCCGCTTCTTGACAGCCCGGCTCTCATCGCCCTCATCCCAGTTCTCGTCGACGTAGTCCTTGACGCTCTTCTCCTGGAGCTGCATGCCGACGACCTTGAGCGCGGCAATGTTGAAGCCCATCTCGTCCTTTTGGCGCTTCAGCGCGGCGCGCAGGTTGGCGCGGATGCCGTCGAGCATGCCGCGCATGGTGCGGCTGGCGACGATCTGGCGGTGGTGCGTCTTGAGCATGAAGAAGAGGATGCGGCAGGTCAGCGGGATGTTCATGGAGCGCTGGGCAAAGACGTTGAGGAAGGTGAAGAGCATGGGCACGGAGGCGAAAGGTAGCACGAGGAGGGCGTCGTGGAGGGCCGAGGCCTTGATGCGGCCCAGCACGCTCATGACGTAGGCCTCGGCCGTGATGTTGCCGAGGGCGACGAAGATGGGGTTGCGCTGGGGCGCCGGCGCGGACGGGTTCGTCTTCTTGGCGTCCTCCCACTCCTGGAGGAGGTTGAGGTCGGCGATGGCGATCTCGAGGGCCTCGGCGATGCGTTCTCCGGCCATGAGGGTCTCGACGGTCTGCTTGGAGGCGGCGCCGACTTCGCCTTCCTGGTCCTCGGCGTCCGGGTCGCGCTCGAGCGAGGTGGTGAGGGTCTTTTCGTAGAGCTCCTCGATTTCCCTTTCGCGCTCTTCTTCGAGGAAGATTTGCTCGTCCGTCTCGTCCCAGACGCGGATGGACTTGTCGTGGCCCACCGTGACGAGGAAGTTGCCCGTGTGGCCGACGGCCATGGCCCAGACCTCGCCGTGGTGGCCGTCGAGGCGCTGGATCTGCTCAAACTTGTCGCCGTCCCAGTACTTGATGACGCGGTCCTTGGAGCTGCTGAAGAAGTGGTGGCCGTTGCCGTCCGAGTTGTGGGGGACGAAGGCGACCTGCAGGATGGAGTCCTGGTGGCCAAAGAGGGCCTTGTGGCAGTCGCCAAAGTCGAGGCCCCATATCCTGATGTTCTTGTCGGCGGAGCTGGTGACGATGAGCTTACTGTCGTACGAGATATCCATGCTCAGCACCGGGAGCTTGTGGCCGTAGAGGTTGAGGTAGAGCTTCAGGCTGTCGGTGAAGAAGACCTTGACGGTGTTGTCGAGGAGGGAGACGGCGATGTACTTGGCATCGGGGGAGTATCTCACGCAGAGGATGTCGTCGGACACCTTGAGTGTTTTTGACTGGACCAGCTTCAACTTAGGTGTCGTACGCGTGGTGCCCAGAACTGGCTCTTGGACAATCTTAAAGTCCCAAAACTTGGCTGACTTGTCGGCACTACCCGATGCCACCGACTTGCCGTCGGGATGAACTTGTAATGACCAGATGGCACCCTCGTGCGCAGAGACGCTGTCCAGCAGACTCGCGGACGCAACATCAAAGAGCTCGAGCTCTCCCGTCTTCGTTCCGACGACGACGACCTTGTCTCCGGGCAGGAATGCGCAGCAAAGAGCGTAACCACACTCAAAGGTGCGGATGCAGGCCTGCGTCTTGATGTTCCAGACCTTCAGACTTCCGTTGGCGGCCGTCGCTAACATCTTGTCGTCAGAGCTGAGCGACACGGCGCGGATGTCTGTCCTGTGTCCGGGGAGTTCCACGGCCAGCGACCGCGTGTAGTCGGGCACATCCTCCTTCTTGGACTTGGCGCCCTCTTTCGTGGGTATGCTGTAGTACTCGAGTTGGTTGTTTGTCGTCCCCGCCAGCAAGTGTATTTCCTTGCTCCCACCATTGACCGCCCAGTCGACCGATCGCACCTTGCCGCCCGTCCGGACAATCACGTACTGAACAAAAAAGTCGCTAGCCTCCGCGACGGAGATATCCTCTGCCTGATCCTCTCCCTCAGGCGCAGCATCGGCCTCCTCTTTTCCTTCCTTGCTGGCCTTCTCACGTCTTCTTCTCCTCTTCCGGGCCAGGGACTTCTTGACCTCTGCCTCCGACCTTATGCGCCATACCTCCACGGCCTTTTCTACGCCGTGGACTGCAAAGTAGTCTCGGCGGGGGTGAAAGACCACCTCGATAGCCTTGTCCTTGTGCTGACGGAACAAGGTCCCTCTGTCGTGGAGGAATTTCGTATTTTGCGGAGCGTCGACCTGACCCTTCAAAGCGGCGAGTCCTGTTGTATCCAGAAACCACACCTTCAGCTCCCCGTCGTTTCCGGCCGTGATGCAACCGCTGTAGTCGGGAGAAAGTCCCAATGCCCAGCATTCGCCGTTCGTCTGTGCGATGTGTGTCTCGATGCAATGCCTCGAGGACAGGTCCCAGAGCTTGATCAGGGAGTCCTTGCCGGTCGTAAGAAGGTAGCCCTCCGCTGACGGGTCGCTGTCCAGCATTGCCGTGTTATCCTCATCTTCGACCTGTCCCTCCGGCTCGACGAATTGCAGTCCTGTGATCTGATCCTTGTGTCCTCTCAGTTTGAACTGGCCGACCTCAGCCACGAGATCCCAGATAATGACATCGGTGTCGCGGGAGCCACTGGCCAATCGCACGCCCGACTTGTCGAATGCCAGTGTCGTAATCGCCGACTTGTGTCCGTTGAAGTTGACAATCACCGTGGCGATCTTGCTATCCCATAACCGAATGCTTCCATCTTCGTATCCGACGGCGAAAATATCTGTGTCGACTTTACTCTGCACAATCGCAGTAACGGGTACCGTGTTTCGTTCGTCCCGCCACCTGCTGAGAAGCTCGCCTTTCTTTATATCCCAGCACAAGACATCCTCGTTTGCGGCTACGATTGCCTGGCCGGCGCCGTTGCCAGCTCTGCCTTGGGGAGCCCAGGCGAGGTTTGCTGTGTTGGATGCGACAACGCCGAAAGACTTGCTATGCTCGTACTTCCTGAAGAAAAACAAATGTTAGACACACCCTTAAAGCCCGCGACACCTGTAAGACCTTACAAGTATGATTTGACCATTTTTGCGGATTTCCTGGCGCCCAAAAAGCCCTTTGTCAATGGCTCCTTAGAATGCGACGAGTAAACCGATCATCAAAATCTCGAACCTCCCACCTTCCAATCTTTCAAAAAGTTTCCCTCACCTTATCGATAAGATCAGAAGATAAGTGGAGAGGACTGGGAGTGCCGAAGTATATCCGTAATCGACGGTCCCGCATGAGCATCACAGCCACAGAAGCTCCGACAGCGACCTCCACGTCAGGCGGGCCCCACCACGAGGCATCATCAGCAACCAACGACGCAACAACATCACAGGAGACGTACGGACAATTGGTCGCAGACAAGATGCTTCTCCTCGACTATCAGAATGTTCTGATTCAATCGGTTCTCACCGAGAGATTCTCTGGGTACGTGGATTGGAATATGGTAGCTCATGTTCGGCTAGCTTGCTAACTTCCAAGGCAGTGCCCCTCCTGCGCACATCGACCAGACAGTCTCCGATTTCGACGGCGTCATCTACCACATCTCGACCCCCGAGACGAAGACCAAGATTCAGCTTTCGATTCAAATAAGATGCTACAAGGACTTGGTCAAGTACGGCGCAGAGCAGGTGCTGCAGAGAGAATATGGCCAGTATGTGGTGCCGCCGGAACCCGGGTACGACTTCTCGGTATTGATCGATTTGGAGAACCTCCCGGAGGAGAAGGGTCAGTTACACTGCAATGATGTCGGGTGATACTTGAGACTGACGGAAAATGCAGAGGAGAAGGATGCGCTGATCATGAAGATGGCGCTGTTGAAGCGCAACGCCATGGCCGCACCTTTCGAGGCTGCTTACGAGGAGCACTACAAGCTGAAGGAGGAGGCATCCAAGTACACGTCTGAGGAAGCTCCGCAGGGTGTCCGCGAGGGCGGCGAGGTTATGGCTATCCACTACCGCGAGGAGGAAGCTATCTACGTCAAGGCCAGTCACGACCGTGTCACGGTTATCTTCAGCACCATCTTCCGCGAGGAAACCGACCGTGTCTTTGGCAAGATCTTCATCCAAGAATTCGTCGACGCCCGTCGGCGAGCTATCCAGAACGCTCCCCAGGTGCTCTTCAGGAACGACCCCCCGCTGGAGCTCCAGGGAGTCCCTGGTGTCAGAGATACCGGAACCGGCGAGATCGGATACGTTACCTTTGGTGAGTGTTTATCCTTACATAGCTTGATTGCTTTGCCATTGACGTCTCTTGATAGTCCTTTTCCCTCGCCACCTTACACCACAGAGAATGCCGGACTGCATCTCCCACATCCAAACTTTCCGCGACTACTTCCACTACCACATCAAGGCATCGAAGGCGTATATTCACTCAAGAATGCGCAAGAGAACTGCCGACTTCCTCCAAGGTATGATACAGTTCGATTTCGAGGTGAACATTTTGACCAATACCACGCAGTACTTCGCCGCGCAAGACCCGATAGCGAGGAGAAGGAACGGAAGACGGCGAGCGGCCGCACTTTCAAGGTCCAGGGTGCGTAGGCTAGTAAGGATGCATTCTCACCGCATGCCCGGAATACGCAGCACACAAATCGATGATAAGGACTCACTGGACTGTGAACTTGAAACTACGTCCAGAGCTCAGGCGTATCGAAGCTGTATAAGCAAATGCGATACAACGCGTTCCCGCCCACAGCTGATAGCGATAGCAAGCCAAGGGGTTTTCTGTTACCTTTGTAGAAGAAGAAGAAAAAAGACTTTCATGACCACTAGCCCTGCAGACTATACCTTATCCTCGGAATCCTCCTGATGAAAACCGGAAGCAGCTTGGCAGTAATGAAATCGGGAGCAATTCTGAGCTGATGAGCCAATCAGAGGCCCTAAGGCGTGGACGGGCCTTTTCGTGGTAGGGTGATGAGACGGAGATGGAGAAACCTTTTGCAGATGATGCGCAAACTGCAGCCGGGACGGGGGCACCGGGGAGGGGGGAAGGGAGATGGTGACGGCGTTTTGACGGCGGTGCATCCATGGAACATTAATGGCGGCGGTTGCTTGATGTGCCGGATCGACGTCTCCACTCCAACACTAACACCGGTGTCCGATGGGAAAGGGTTCCCACCTCAGTCTTCCAAGTGCCTACACGTAGTGCAGTTTGCATACGAATGGAGACCAGGGCTGATCCGTGTAGGCAGTATGTTGTACATGAATGCATTGTTGACGGCCACACCGGGATTGTTCATGTGAACAATCATGAAGCAAGCCGGCCGTGGCCTTAATTGGGCTGGAGTTTGTTCGAGGCTTTACTACTGGCCGTCCGATGTGTGAATGCTGCCACAGCGAGAAAGTCGAAATGTTCGAGCTAGGTATGCGTAGCTTATCCTAATACGTAGTAGAGAACCTGATGTTTGGATGAACGAAGGGGGGGGATGTAACATGTGGTACCCCCATCTGTATCCATAGGTATATGGTGTGGCTCTCTGCATAAGATAGGTGTATATATCGCTCTTGGTATTCGTCGGTCGTTCCTCTCAAGCACGTAATCCAGGTCGCATAAAGCTGTTTCCTCGTGGAAGGAAGGAATTGGGTTGTTTCGTTTGTGTGGCGAGGTTTTTTGGATTGTGTACATAATTCACGAGGTAGTGGGCTTTCGACAACCGCGCATAATGGTGAATTAAAGTGGTTTTTTCCCAAGAGAGGGATCCGATAAGTGGGTGGGTGGGCAGACGCGCCGTGACAGAGAGCTTTCAACTCTCCTTTTCTGCCTTGCTTGGTTTTTCGCGATTCGCGTTCGTTGGAACTTATCCTCCACTTTGAGCACTGCCCGCTTCGTTCCTTATGCTAGGTAGTTCGGTTTCCTGCGTTTCCCTGCTTTGCGCCGTCCAGAATCGGGCCGTGACAATTGTTTCCCTCAACGAATAGACATGGCCAATTTTTCAAAGATATGAGAAGGCGTAGTGCCCATTGAGCGAAAGGTCGATGAGCCAATCGATGCATCGTGAACGATGTGTATGTACTTTATGCAGCAGAGGTTGCGATGACAGTTCAATCAATTGGAGAGCGGACGCCGCAGGCCGGGATGTCCCCCACCGAGCAATGGGCTGTGAGACCAACTGGGTTTGAAGATGGGGCGCCGCGAGCCCCCCCTCGTCCAGTCGTCACGGTCACCTCGGACGACACTGCAAACTGGGAGCGACGAGGGAGGGGACGGCTTGATGATCCATGCCGCGACGCCGGATCCCCCCTTCGTCATTCTCCAATCCGCACGCTACGAAGACGATGTGCAGTCGTCCTCTTCCGCGGCTCCGTGGCGATAATCTACTCGGTATGAGTTTGTACGAAGTACGGATGCTCTGCCTCCCCCGAGTCGCTCCCCCAAGAAGGAAGGACCCGACCCCTTAAACTCTCACAAGGTATCCCATGCATACCGTGGACGGCCAAGTGCGAGAGCCTGAGAGGATACCAGACTGACTGGATGACAAGCCCCCGGGACTGCCATCGCATCGCATGGCATTCTTTTTAGCTGAGGTGTGCACGGGACAATAATGCAAGGAACGGCCGGCGCGGAAGGAGGGTTGGGAAACTTGAGACGGATGTGATAGGATGATTGGGATTGGGGGAGAAAAACCCCACGTCGCGAGCTGAGGTGGAAAGATGGAAGGGCGAGTGGTCTGCACTTGCCTCGTACCTGACGCTAAAATAAGTGAAGTGTCGGTTTGATGTATCTATGTATTGCCCGTACCTGCTTGGCAGTGCCTGCAAATGCGAAGGTAAATCGAGATGGACCAGTCAGAGCACTTTGTCGCATCCAAAGCATCTTGAGCAACTTTTCTCTACCTTAGCAGTGGAACCTCCTGGTCTCTTCATGAGTCCTGAATGCTGAGTGGCCGGCACCTCCTCGACCTTCAAGCTTGCTCCCCCCCACCTGCCGTCCGTCATCTGCCCAGGCACTTCAAGATGTGGCCCGTCTGGTCTCTGGCAGACTGGCACTCTGCTGTATCGGGCGTAGCGGCAGCTGGGAACTGCTGCGGGAAGAACGTGCGCTGCTTGGGCCTGGACCGCAGGTGGCCGTCAGAACAGCCAGACACGCCAGACTTCAGAGGTCAAACCGTCAATCATGCCCCAGATTCGAAATAGGGAGGCTGGAACGGAGGGAGGGCCCTCTGAAGCCCTGAAGCTCTCCCTCTCAACGTCTTGGGGGTCCCGAACCTGCGGATGGCATATCATGACAGATTCAGATAAGATGTGTTTGGTCTTTTCCTGGATGGCCACGAACCTCTTTTAGGAAACGGGTTACTTTCCTAGTGACATGTTTGCAAAGGGAGGATGAGAGTCTACACCTATACCTTCTTCACCTGTCATATCGCTGTTCTAAATCTAGGCTTTGCTGCTCCATACATAGCACCCTAGAAGGCTTGCCAGTTCTTTTTGCGTGGTCTGCCGCCGATACCACGACACACTGGACGACGCCGATGACCCCCCGGGCATTCTTGACATCAACCCCTGCCTGCTAAGAGCGCTTGGAGGAGCAAAGTGGTACGGATAACGTGAAAGTGGCTCCTCCCACCTCCCAATTGTGACCTGCAGCCTGCAGGACTGTGACTGAGGCACTTTCCTCTTCGTTGGTTGAGCTGCTCCTCTTTCTCTGCCTCTCTTTTCGACGTTTGCTCCTTACCAAATCCCTCTCCCCCATTCGCCCCGAGATTTCCTTCGCGGAACATCTCTGTCGCTCATTTACCAGTCTTCCTTCTTCTATTCCATGGGCAGTTTCGACGTCTTTACCGCAGATTCAACATAATATCCCTCCCGACGCCTTACCCGGACCGTTTTGCCATCTACCCGGCCTTTCTGCGCTCGGCCGGCCACTCACGACAAACAAGCAGCACGAGGGTGGAAAAAGAAAACGCAAGACAACCTAACGCGTAGGCATAGCGGCTTGCAGTGGCTACAGCGTATACGAAGAGTAAATCCTCGCCTGGAGCAGTATAGAGCAAGAATACGCAGCAGACAGTAGAAGGACGCCAAAGAAACATTCGAATCGAATTGTAGTGCCGTTAGGTCAAGGGAACAGGAGAGAAATCGACATTTGAAGATCTCCAAAAATCCGAGATTGGGGACAGCGCTGGTCGTCCCTCTCAGCAGCATTCATTGGCCGATGTTGAACTAGAGCCATTTCTTCTCGAGACGTTTAGCTCCCGTGGCGTCACCGGCTTTTCCAACGATCGCCCTTTCTTCTCCTGATAGCTTGCTTACCTTACCTACCTTACCTTACAGAGTCAGGTAGCAGCTATTCGTACGCTACCTACTGATACTTCGTACCTGACCGACCTGGCACAGACATCTCTTGTCACAGCAAGAGGCGACACCACAGCGAGACATTTCGGCGGTCCTCTACGGGTTTGCAAACACACAAGACAAGCACCTCATCAATCCACGTCGACAACGTAGTACACTCATTTCTCGAAGCTTTCGCGCGCGACTCTGTTTCAATTTCACCTCTTGGAATCCACTCCAATCAGATTCCCGCCGATTTCCCGTCTTTATCTCTCTCTCGCTCTTCCCCGCTGCAACTTGCATACATCCACACTCACTCCATACACGCAGTCACCTTTTTAGGGCAACTCACAATCATTCATTCTTTCCCCTTTCTTATTCTACATTCGGGTAACAATTTCTTCTTCGCCGAGACGCCAGCCGACGACCGACACAAAACGGTTCACTTGGTCTCTCATCAATCGGTCTGCTTCATTTCACGTTTGGGGGACTTGCTTTCGTCGAGCTTGCCCCAAGCCAGTCTAAACCGATTGTCAATCCATCCGAGCACATTTCAATCAGCAGCCGTGGAGCCGTGGCCGCGACTGCGTATCCGTACCTTACTCCGTCCGTACCTTACCTTACGGTGAGTGGAGGCACCGCTCCACCCACAAAAAAAGTGTCAGTGCTTTTGATAGGAGGTAAGTGCAACCTAAAGTCACCACCAATTTCCCTGGCGCAGGTACGGGCAGGTACAAGTCTGCAAAGTGGGGCCCGCACCTTCCATTCCAGGCCCCATCTCGTCTGGCGACTCAGCCTCTCTCCTTCCCTCTGGGCTCCCGTCTGGCTCTGGCTCTGCGTCTGCGTCTGTGTCTGTCCGCCTCTCCACCAACAAACAACAAAACACTGCGGTCGACAAAGAGCAGGGGGAAGAATAGGAAGCGCAGCTCTCACCACCTCGTCGTCGTTGCCATCTAATGGCCGCAACTCAGTTCTAACCTTTTTTCTTGTCCGACGATAGAACTGGGCGACCAAACTACTCTCTATTTTCTTTTCCTTCTCTACATCCGACACCAGACGCTCGTTTTCACTCCCCCGATTATTCGCTAAATCCTCACCTTCCGATTCGACTCGATCCGATTCGACTCCTTCTCTCCGTTTAATTTCGCACCACCGATTTTCGACGCGCCTCCGAACCCGCGACCGATCAAACGAAGCAGCAGACATCATTCTTTTCATGGCCAGCATCCAAAATTAGATTCCTGCAAATGCGACGCGATATCCAGTCCGATTCTCAAGCATCAAAAATCTTCACTTCAACAGCTTCGATACCCAGCATTCACAGCACCCAACTCACCACCCTCTTGCCGACTGAACAGCAATAGCAATGCGTTTAGCTCTCGGTAAGCGCCCTTCGGCGCGCCGGAGTAAGTGGGCGAACCTTCTTGCAGTGGCAGCCCTCGCACCTTCCTCGGTGGCAGCAATCCAGTTCACCCCAGTTTCCGATGCGAACCTCGACCTTTCCCAGCTTGGCAGAATTGGTGTGGCGGGCGACTTCAACGGCATCTCTCTCTACCAATTTGAGGAGCAAAATGAGAAGCCTTACAGCACAAACGGAAGCGAGTCTTTGCTTTCTCAGCTGCCCAATGGGGCCTTTGCGTCGCTCATCTCGACTGATGCCTCAATTCACGACATGTGCACATTCACCCTCGACAATGGAACGATGCAGGGAGTGGTAATTGGCGGTAATTTCACGAGCTTGGATGGCACTCAGTCTCAAGGCATTGCCTTGTTCAACCCCAACACCTCCCAGATCACCCCTTTGGCCGGTCTGTCAGGTCAGGTGAACGCTCTTCTCTGCGACCAAGCTGCCAACACCGTTTACGTTGGAGGTAACTTCAGAGGCGCCAACTCGACGAACGCAATTGCCTGGTACGGCACCGACGGATGGACTAACCTTCCTTTCGCTGGTTTCAATGGCCCTGTTTCGTCCATCACCAAGGCTTCGAATGGCCACATCGTCTTTGGCGGCAGCTTCACTGGACTTGGCAACACTAGCACTCCCAGCACCCCGGATGGACAGGTCATCAACCTCTCGACTGCCAATATTACTTCGGCTTCGAGCACCTCTACCGCTGGCTTTAGTGACCCTCGCAACATCATCTGCAAGACGGACGGAGCTGATGGCTCAGGCAACACTTGGCTGCTCCGCGACAATTCTGCTGGCTTCTGGCAGGCAAGTTTCGGCTTTGGGTTCCAGCCCACCAAGATGCGGCTCTGGAACACCCACCAGGACGGCCGAGGAACCAAGACATTCCGTTTCACTGCTCTCCCTCTGGGCGGTATCTTGAATATGACCTACGTTGACCCCACAACTGGTCAGAACGCTACCTGCACTAGCGAGTGCCCTCTCAGCAACAACTCAACTCTCAAGTTCCAGGACTTCCACTTTGTCAACCTGGTTGGAATGAACTCGTTCAGAATCGATATTTCCGACTACTACGGATCTGGCGGTGGTCTGAACGGCATCCAGCTTTTCGAGGACGACATCAACTCGTACGCCATCAACGACTTCAACTCCCCGGCCTGCGCAGACAGTGACACCAAGTCATCTGCCACCACCACCGGACCGTGGTCGACATCTCCTTCCTTGCAGAGCAGCTCTCAGTACTTGACTGCCAAGCTATCCGGAACCATCAGCGCAAGCTCCGCCACGGTTACCTTCCTCCCGGATCTCAAGGAGTCTGGCAACTATTCCGTCAACCTGTACACGCCCGGCTGCCTGCAAGACGGTACCTGCTCGACTCGAGCGCAGGTCAACGTTACCGGCATCATGTCGTCCACTGGTAGCAACAAGTTTACTACGTCCCTTTACCAGACTAATAACTTTGACAAGTATGACCAGATCTACTTCGGCTATATCGAGGCGAGCTCAGCAGACGGCTTCCGGCCCAGCGTCACTCTGACTCCTTTGGCTGGGCAGAGCATTGATGAAATGACCATTGTTGCTCAGCGAGTCGGATTCACCCTCATCAATTCGACGGGTGGCCTGAATGGCCTGTTCGACTTCGACCCTTCGTCTGCCACAGTCAACACCGATTTCAAGAGCTCCAAGATCAACCAGCTCGGGTCCTCATTCTCCTCAGGATCTGCAGTCACTAGCTTGACGACTGCTGGCGACTTGGTCATCGTTGGAGGCAACTTCACGTCATCTACTGCCCGCAATGTCATTGGTATCAACACGGCAAGCGAGGCTACCATGGCTCTCGACGGCGGTCTCAATGGCGAAGTGAAGGCGATGGAACTCAACGGTACCCAGCTTTACGTTGGTGGTGTCTTCTCCAACACCCTCGACAATGCCGTCACAGGTCTCAACAACGTCGGTGTGTACGACACCTCCGCCAACACGTGGACTGCACTTGGTGCAGGCGTCAACGGCGAAGTCTCCCACGTTGTCCCAATGCTCGTCAATATTACAAGCGAGAGTGAGGCAGAGTCGGTCGTTACATTCACTGGTGACTTCAGCGAGATCAACGCATTCGGAGACAACTCAGCTATTCAGGCTTCTGGCTTTGCCGTCTGGGTGCCCTCTCAGAAGAATTGGCTGCAGAACCTCAACGGCCCTGTCCCGGCCTTGAACGGAATCCTGACCACTGGCATTCTCGATCTTCCCGGAGGAGGATCTCTCTACGCAGGATCGATGACCTCGGCAACTATCAGCGCCAATGGTGCCGTCACCCTTGCTGAGAAGTTTGGCCAGTTCCCGGTCAAGTTCAAGCCATCTTCGACGACCTCTATCACCGTCAGCAAACGCGATTCTCTGGCCAGTGGCAACATTACGGGCGTGGTCACTGGTGCATTCTACACTGGCAACAGCCGCAATATTACCATCCTGGGTGGCCACTTCACGGCTGTGGGCACTAACGGCAGCTCCGCCAATAACCTGGTGCTCATTGACGGATCAAACTCGAACTCGATCACCGGCCTCGGCTCTCAGATCGAGGACAACTCAACCTTCATTGCCCTTGCGGTAACTGGCGACCTTCTCTTTGCCGGAGGCAGTGTCCGTGGTACCGTCAACAACAATGCTGTGCGAGGTATCATCTCTCTGAACCTCCAGACTGCTACCTTCAACAGCACGCAACCTCCCGGCATCAGCGGTGGAAACGCGACCGTCACATCTATCGAAGTCCGTCCCGATTCTGGCGATGTCTATGTTGCCGGTTCCTTTGAATCAGCTGGAGCGCTTGGCTGCCCAGGTGTCTGCTACTACGACACATCTCTGGCAGGTTGGAACCGTCCCGGTGTCAACCTCGAAGGCACTGGACATTGCCTCATCTGGACCAGCAAGTCCCAGCTTGTCGCCGGTGGCAATTTCACCTTGAATGGTACCTCCCCTACCATGCTTGCCATGTACAGCCCTGATCGCCAGGCATGGTCTGCCTACCCCGGCGAGGACTCTCTGCCTGGTCCCGTCGAGGTTCTGACGGCTGGATCGAGTGATCGCAAGCAACTCTGGGTTTCCGGAACCGCGAACAACGGCTCCATCTACCTGATGAAGTACGACGGCTCCAAGTGGCAATCTGCCGGAACTACTCTACTTCCCGGTACTACTGTCAACAGCATCCAGGTCTTTTCTCTGACTTCATCCCACGACAATACCGACATCCTAGACTCCAACCAAGCCTTGATGATTACTGGCTCCCTCAACCTTCCCGGCTACGGATCAGCGTCGGCTGCCATCTTCAATGGAACGACCTTCCAACCGTACGCGCTCACAGTCAACAGCGGTAACACCGCCGGCTCGATTTCGAGAATCTTCACCGAGCACCAGGACTTCTTCTCCGACAATGGTAAGTTTTGCAGACTCGATACCTTTAGAAATGCGTACTGATATCGAAGCAGAAGGCCGCATGGCTCTTGGATTCATTGTCCTAATTGGACTTGGTATATCGCTCGCCCTCATCTTCCTCATCGTCATCGTCGGTATGGCCCTCGATCGCCTGCGCAAGAAGCGTGAGGGATACTCGCCAGCACCGACATCGATGTATGACCGCGGCGGTGGTATGAGAAAGATTCCTCCCCACGAGCTACTCGAGTCACTCGGTAAGGGCCGTCCTGGCGCTCCGCACGTGTAGCACTTGTGAGGAACGTTTCGGTTTCGGTCTTTTATCAGGGTTTTGCTTTCCGGCGTTTGGACAGGCATGGCGTGGAAAAAGGATACCATCGCGACTCGACATCTTTCACCAACAGAGGCATAGAATCAGCTGTTGAGTCCAAGAGGGACGAAGACAGCACATATTCGACACCACGCAAAACGCAAGTCTTCGAAAGCAGTCTGCCTGGCTGCGACCAATCGATATGGCACGCCATACAATCTGACAGTAGCCTCGTGGACCGCCTCGACTTCTCTGCATTCGATTCTTCACGACCTCACGACCTTTGTTTAATGTCTACATGTTTAGTTATACCACTATGCGCGTTAAGCCGCTTTCTCTTCTCGGACACAATCAGCAAGGTTCCTTCCCTGGAACTTGTACACTACAACTGGACACAGCTCCTTTTTGTTATCGAGCTGGTCGCGCGCATACACCAAAACAACCAAACAACACCAATCACTATCAATCAGGTTTCATTTTTTTCTTCACTTTGTCGTCTCGAAATGAGACATTTTCGGAGTTTCCCAAGGTCGGACAGGAGGGATCAAGGCTTCTTCTGAACTTGGAGGTATGAGAGAGGCGGAGGAAAGGAATTCTCCTTTTTTTTTTTCCAAATTCCGCCAACAAGTCTTGGCTGAGGCTGTTTCTACCCAGCTTTGAAGACATTAGCAGTAGCTTCATGGCGGTTGAGTGCCATAGGTAGCTTAATATCCAGTATCGAACAAGGTTTACAGTAACATTCCTGCTCTTCCCGTCCATCGTGATCGATGCAGTCAAGTGCCCCAGCATCTGTGTCTTCCTACTCGTCAAGATGACGAGGATACGGAGAGGAGTGTCATCCAAGTGTACTCTGGTGTGTACCGTTTTCTCTCCATCTCTCCCCCTGATCCTGTCTCATAACACTTGTCTCAGCCACGTAGAAAAAAAAGCCTTCCTCCCCCAAGGACTCCCCTCAGCTAGAAAATGTCTCGCCCTACGTGCCTGTACGACGTTTGAGATCGTTGCCAGCACCGTCATCGTCATGTCGCTTGTAAGCTTAGCTGCTTGCGTACATGTCTCTCTCTCTCTCTCTTTTGAACCCTCCGATCATCGAGCTCATGCTTCGACGCCCCCCCCCCCCCCCCTTCTCCTCTTCCACTGCCGGGTATGTCTTCGAAACTGTGTAACGCTGGCAGAGACTGGTTCATCTTGATACAGCGCCTTACACGCCCCCTCCTTCCTCGGTCTCGTTTAGATACTGGATGATGGGAGCTCTGAGTCTGCATCGGTGAGTGAGTGAGTGGGTGAAGTGTTGGCCGGAATGAACAAAGTGTTTCGATAGGGAGATGGTTTCGTGTATGCGAACTCTTCCGTGATTGAACGAAAGACGTCCTGCCTAGCTCGAGATGTCCAGAAACTTGGAGCTATGAGTTGGAAGCTTCGAGATGTTGAGCTTAGCTTGAGCTTGAGCTTGAGCTTGGTAGGTACTCGTGGTGAGCTCTTCGATTACACACCCCGAGCAAGGAGGGGGAGAGGTAAAGAGGAAGACAACAAGACGTTGCGCTTAACCCGGAACAGCGAGCGAGCTCACGATATCTCACTCACTCACGCCCGGAAACAGCATGAGCGGCCTGCAAGCACGAAGCACCACACAATCATACTATACTAGCGGGGGAAGACGAGGGCTTGAGATCGTAGATGGCGGCGATTTAGGGGGAGGGGGAAGTAAACGTCTAAAGCTTATTCCGCTCGCGGTCTAAGTGTGCTTCTTTCCGCCCGCCTTGATGTTTCTCGAGAACCACCGTGATGTAGTTGTGTAGGTACTCCTCCCCGGGCGTTGAGATTTGCCCCTGCCCCTGAGATGCTCTAAAGGGCGTTTGTTTCGTGCGGGTGAGACACTGTCTTGTAGATGCGGATGATCGCCAGCTAAAGGGCGTAGATTTGATTTTCATCTAGGTACACGAGGGCTTTCTTTTCTTCTCTCTCTCTCTCTCTCCCCTTCTCTCTTAATGAGGGTTATGAGACGGATGTTTCCGTCCAAGTGGACTACATCTCAATACTATACTACATCTAAAATGTGTGTGTGCCTTGGATGCGATTTGACAAGGACTTGGGTGAGACGAAGAGATGAGCCTTCATATTGATGATAGCTTTCGGCCGAAGCGACCACCACCGCCGCCCCCGACCCGACAAGACACCTGGGGACGTGAGAACACAGGTAGCCGTGTACGGAATGCTTGCAATGAACTATGCAGTAGATTCTAACCTCGAGGTCACAGGTAGCCAAGATAGGGCTGTTGTATTGTTTGGCAGCCATGCACTTCACACCAAGGCCCAACCTTCCGTTTCGTCATGCCCTGCTTGCTACCAATACGCGCGAAACTCCCGAATGCGGGCATTTCTTGGGGCCCTGGCGACAAACAGCTCAGAGAAGACGGGCAACATGGCCCCCTCTCCCAATACCTCGATGTCGGGTTCTCGTCGTTGCTTGCTTCCTTGCTTTGTTGCATGAGAACCCTTCACGCAGAAGAGACGATGCGAAATCTGGCTGCAAGCTTCCTGATCGGGAGCACCTCCCGTTCGTCGAGGCTATATTGCCTTCATCTCGGAGAGGACCCTTGGGGGCCCCTCCCGTTGCCCCCCCCCCCCCCCCTCGGCAGGATCCAGAGTGGTAAATTGTAAGAGTCAATTGCCTCAAGTTGAGGCATTACATCTCACTCGACATTTCCCTGTCTTGGATCTTGATTCTGAACTGACGATGGTGATGATGCGCGTTTGAATGGGCCATGTCGGGTGGCAAAAAATAAAGGAACAGACTAAGAAAACAAGGCCGACGGATGTCAGAAAATCTCGCAAGGGGGGTCTTGTTAACCACCAGTACGATTGAATTTGGATGTAGCGCGAGACAGGATAGGGACCGGGTGACGGAGACCGCACTGCAGCAAGGCAAGGCAAGGCAAGGCAAGGTAGGGCGAACCTTGATGGTCTGCCCCCGTCCGTTTGCGCAAGTCCGGTTACGGGGCCGTTGGCTGATTTGAGCGGTGAAGAGGCCGGCGCCGCGGGGACTTTACAGGGACCGGGGGCGGGAGGGAGGCTCGATGGTGAAAGTGAAAGACTCAGCGATTGGCTGTGTCTGGTGGTTGGGAGGAAGGTAAATGCGCTGAGTGGGAATATGCCTGGTAGCTTCGTGGTGGCAATTCAGGGTACTGCATAGGTATGAAGCCTTGGATAGCGGCTTCCATTGGCCAAAGCGACTGTTTTGTGACTTCATTGGTAGTACGCCGTACGTACTGTGTAGACTTCTGAGCATGGGGGTCTTTGCAGCCTCTTTTTCTTTGTTTTCCACTTCCATATATCCGTAGACGTACTGTGGTGGAGAGGCAAGCTGGCAAGCAAATGGTCCGTGTCGTGCCGGTGTGCAGTGTTGTGTCGCTAGCAAAAGCCATTGGTCGTGCCAGAGGAGTGAGGCTGGCTCTATGGGCAAGGATGCCATCTCAGGTGCTGGGATTCAGTGTTATCTGATGCTCATGAGTGGTGCAGGGCGGATGGCTCCCGCGCTGGGGCATGGCACAGGACCATCAAAAGAAACTGAAGTGACCAGAGCCCAGCGCTGTCAGGCCGGCGGGAGGCGGCAGGCGACAGAGGGCTGCAGGTAGAGGTCAAGTATCCGTATGGCAACGTTTATCTGCTGAACTCTCCGCACTGGCACAGGGTATGTTTGACTCGGGTCAGAGGAGTCGCGACCACAGTCGAACCTTGGATAGGCTTGGATTGAATGGGATTGGGCAATGGCGCAGAGAAGACCCTGTGCTGAGAATCGAGCATTCCCTCGTCTGGTCTATCCGTCCTCTAAGCCTGTCCAAGACTTGAAGGGCATTGGCGTTGCGGTGGCTAGGGTGTGGCCGCATCGTCCCGCCGTTGTTTTTCTTTCTTAGGGGTCGTCCAAGTATGTAAACAAAGGGGGGGACAGGCGTGTAGGGGGGTACGAATAGACGCTGCAGAAGGCGCGATGGCAGTGCAACACGGTTGGTCTTGGTTCCGTAAGCAGCTCGACGCCTCAGGACAATGGCATTTCCTGGCGCCTGAACATGGACATCTATGAAAATGCCATGGTGTTAGGTGGCGCCTTGAGGGTGTGAGGTGCGCGTCACTGTTGGAGCTCGAGACAGGCAAAACGCTGTATCCGTCCGGACACTGGATGCCTCTGTTTGTCAATGGAGGGCAGTTGGTACCGCAGCCTGCAGGGCGCAAAGTCTCCTGCGCAGCTAGCGGTCAGTGGGTGGTCAGGAACACGGGCTCTTCTGGAAAGGCATGCCGCGGTGTCGTCTGGTAGTGTATCCGTAGTGGGCGATGTTTGCCAGGAACATGCCTCAACCCCTATTTCCTACTTGATGGTTCCGTCGTCCCAAGAGACGAGGCGACTGCGACTGCAACTGCGACTGCGATTCACGGGCAGCGAGAAGACGAGACACGGACATCCCTGTGGCCACTGCTGTCAAGGGAAGAAGGGATGCCGAATGGTTCATGGACCATGAGGGTTGGCATCAATTGAACTGCGGGCCTGCGGCAGATCTTGTGTTTCGAGATGGGTGGAGGTGCCAGAGAGAACTTTGAGAAAGGGTGGACGTGGTTGCCAAAATAGAAACCAGGGAAATAAGGGTCGGTTGGCTTCTTCCCTCGTTTCTTTGATGAGATGAAATGCGTCGACAGGGAACATGAAACTTCGGTTGAGAGAACATGCACTATGCCTGCGCCGTACGAATGAATAAGGTATGGCTATCCGTACTCGGTACCCCGTACCTAGCTGCTCTGCTTTCGTGGATGGTGCACAGTATTTTCTCTCGGTGGGGTGGCAGGGTCCTTTGGAGTTGCATGGAACCGGATTGACAATTTTCTGCTCTCTTCATTTTCCTGTAACGAATTTTCAGTGACATATCCATCAAGTCAGAGATGAAGGAAGCACCGCCTTGGGATCTGAGGCAGGCATCTTTCGTCTTTGTCACGATACCTTCCTACCTTGCATGCATTAGCCAGAATTGGTTGTTGCATTTCTTTTCTTTTCGGTAGCTGTGAAAAGAGGGGTGTGAACGGAGTATCCAAAAGTACGTATCCCACCTCGAATCTTGGACAATTACTTGATCACACCCCCCCCCCCCTTCTCTCTCTCTCCATGGGCGAATTGTAGGTAGGCCAGTCAGATGAGCCGGACCCCATGGCGGCCGTGGGACAATGACGTTTGTGGATGCCGGCTCAGGGTGGGAATACCACAGAGTCATTATCCCCGCTTTCGTCCCGCTCTCGAAGCCACCGACGTCACCGTGGCCGGGTTGTTAATTCTAACGACGAACCACGGCATCCACCCATCCTCCACACCCTCTTCGCTTTCCCGTGCAGAGTGCAGACGTGCCCTTTCCTTTCGAATGCCTTTTAGCACAGGTAGCACATGCCTTATTAGCCTACGTACCTTGGGTAAAGGGAGTGCAGCTTTAGCAGGTACGACACTGCAAGATACCTACCCGCAGTACCGGCCGGGCGTGCCTGCCGATTGGGGGTCGATGAACCCATCACATTGTTCACCTGTGATGTCCTTTTTATCTTTTTTCTGCCCATATCCGCTACTACTCCTGCGTGGGAAATTGGCGGTGTGTTGGAGGTCGGAAGTGACGATGACTTGCATCGGAGACGGAGCAGCTGGTGATGTCTTCCTGCAGTTGCCCAACAAAGAATTCCATGTCTCGTCGCTCGTGTTACTGAGGACAGCATGTCATTCTTCGCTTCGGCTTTGCTGGGCCAAGGATGGATGGTACCTGCAACTTGTAACTCTACGAGGGTACAGGAAGGACCTGATGAGAACGGGAAGGCGAGCAAGGACGAGGCAAGAGTGACAACATGAGCATGCCACCCCCAAGTCGTCCCCAACCCTCCAGCTTCAACCATCGTCTCCTCTCCAAGGTTCCTCCAATTATTCTTTACGCACCCCCTTCATTGTGGTTGGGAGCCAACCTCAACTTACATCTACCTAGGTAGCCTTGTGGCAAATAGAGTGCAACCATGGCCATGCAATCGAATCAACAGACACGCCTCGTTCACTGGCCGAGACAGCAATGACATCGCGTTTGGGTTCGGAAACAAGCATTGTCCCTTGCGAACCGACCGTGAACCAGAATTCATCCAAAGCGTGCACCAATACAATCATCAACAACACCACCACCCACGCCTCACTCTTCCCCATCGAACAAAAAAATCCGGGGTGGGCGTTCAGACCCTAGGGTTTCTAGGAACAGTAGAAGGACCCTGAAGATCCCATCTTGAGAGGCGTCTGCCTTGCCCCAATCCAATGCTGGGCCTGCGTGCAGCTAGCCGCACTAGCGCGTCTGCTCGTTGGCTGCTTTCGATCCAGGAATCCTCCAACCGAGGGGGTATCTGTACATACGGCCACACCTTGTACAAAAACGCTACTGGATTGCGAAGCCTGCGAATTGCATCCAACCTATCCCTCCGTGATATTCCCCGGCCGCCAAATGGCCCGCCGCCAGCGCCGCCGCGGTACGATGCCGTACCACTACCACACGGGCTGCGGGCACGGGCACGCACACTTACTACCCATCTGTATCTGTTCTGCTCCATGTCGACCAAACAACGACCACACTCCCGCCCACCCACACATCCAAGCACCCTTGACGGCGCATTTACAGGCACTAGCTATGCTATCTGCTACCCACCCACCGCATCCAACTGAATAACCGACTCCAATCACCACTCACAACCTAAATCACCGCACACGACACGAGAGGACGACCAAAGCCCGTGCCGCGGCCACCATGACGATGATGTCAAAAGGCTTCCCCCCCGCCGAAGCAGCCATCTGTCTCGTGCGCCGGTATCTCGATGACGGAGCCCTACCAGCACAAGACACTTGACACTTGGGGCGCACGAATTCTCGAGGGTCTTCGCCTTCCATGGTCGGCTGCGGCCACTTTGACGCCTTTTGCCATTGTGCTGCTGTCGTTGGCGCGCCCGCTGCATCTCGAGCACCGCATGCTACCTCGCTAGTTGGGCGGAACCTCCGCATGCCATCACAAACCTCGGATGGTGGACAAAGGCACTATCAAGAGACGGGGGCCAAGCAATGCCGTCTCTCGCTTGCTCAGCATCGCTTCGCACCTGGCACTCATGGCTTCCGTTATTTCACGCAGCGCTTCAACGGGCTAGCACCGTACTGCATCGCGGTTCGAGCACAAGATCACTCTGATGGTGTAATGGCAGAATCCTTGCAGGAACGCAACTGGACATCCCCGTCCCCGTGATCTGGGGTAGGAAAGCCGGTCACGGCAGGCTCAGAGACTTGTCACGCGCGTATCCGCTGAAGGATGGACATGAGTGTGTGTCGGTGTCGGTACCTGGCGGATCGTCGGTCGTCCGGCAGGGCTTGGAAATGTTCGCCTTGTCACCTCATCTGCTGACCGTCCTCCAAGCTCCGTGGAATGTCCAGCGAAACCTAGCACCATGGAACTCAGGGATGGCATCGGACGTGAAGCTCCAGAGAAGTCATGTTTTGGATATCGTTTGGTTCCATCGAATCGGGTGCCTCGCGAGCAAAAATCCCAGCCAAATCCTGGGTCATTGTGCCCTTCTTCTGCTGCTTTTGGTCGGGCTTGGTACGGGTACCGTAGTGCGGTACATTTGGCGCTCTGGTCCTGCTGGATGTAACCTCACCATGCTCCCCGAGGATCAAACAAAGACGTCGTGTGCAGTGGGGTCGCTATCTTATCTCGTATGGATAGAGATCCTGGCTCTAACAACGGAAGAGGACAGAAACCACTCAGACCGACCGTCTCGAAAAGTTGAGCCGGATCACTTCACCAAATGCCGTTCGAATGGGTCTGCTGTGTATACCCAAGAACCAAGGTGCTATCGAGGTATCCATGATCAAAATGGACCTCTCTCTTCAGGTGTACATACTCCGTACATGCGCTTTTCTCTGGACGGATACATGACCGACGTTGTGGCCCGAACCACCAGGCATCAGATTTAAAACGTCCCCAGCACAGTCCACAGTTCAGACTTCAGCACCGCCGGGATCCGTCTCTTCCAAGATCGCCCCGCCCGAGGCAATGTCATCCAATCACTCCCGTTCAGCCCACCACGAAGCTTGATCGAGCTTAACTTCAGGATATCTCTCGAGCAGGAAATGATCAGAGCTCATCTTGGTGCCAAATCCCAGCAAACAGACGCTCGCTGCTCGACGCGTGCCCATGTGCGGAGTCTGACATGTTGCTGAAACACGCGCATCCACTTTTCCCTTCATCTCTGGTTGCGCCGAAGTTGGCTCTTCTTGTCGCCCCGCGGAACGGTGGAAGAGCTGGGGCTTGCGGCTGGGATGAGGCAATTCGATGCTGAGAACGACGACAAGTTACAACCACCACCACGACGATAACCGTGTGGGCACATACTTTTTGTCGACCTTCTCCACCTCCCACATCTGCCATCAGGCTTTTTTTCTGATAGCTTGTCTTTTCAAGCACACACTGCGTAGGCAGGCATCTGGTTCACTTTGAGGCTTGCCTCATCTTGCATAGCCTTTGCCTTGGCCTGTCCACCACTTGCAGCACACAGGTCCGCAGTCTCCATTTGTTACGGTTCCTACATCGTCATCCCCAGCCCATCCATCTCCAACTTATCCAGTTCAGCGGAGCTCTACTTCCTTGCTCTCTTCTCCCAACGATCCCAGTCCCCCGTCTTCGCAGTCCTTGGTGCAATGCCACATATTGTCAATGACAAAGTTCCCCTCATCATTCCTAGTCTCCATTAATCTTCATCCCATATCGAATGATAAGGTGCTCTCCTCGTTTGCATCTCACATACTCGGGGTGCTCCACACTGAGACCTCCCAAACCTGTCAGTCCTCCAATGCATATGCGATCTCCCAAGTTGTATCCTCTCTCATATTGGTCTTCCCGTCCCTTGTCCCCCATTCCCCCCCCCTCTTGGTCGGCTCATACTATACATTAGCTCCAACGGACGGGCATACGACACGACTTAGTCTCTGCGGCAGAATTGCAGATTAACCATTCTAGTGGCCTCTTTGGGATCCGTCTCTTCTTGCTATAACTAACACCACGTCGTACATGCCACTAAATTAGCCATCTCCGTTTTGGCCCATACGCCATCCGTCACTTCACAGCAAAGTTGGTCTAGTGCCGTCTTGGTGAGATCCCCTTGAGGACTCCGTAAACTACGTAAGCACATATCCATCCTTGATAGCGCTCCCCTCTATCTACGTAACCCAAGGTTGCTTCCTCCCCCGTCTTCGTTAGCCTCTTTCCGTAGCCTCCCCGAGTCTCCGCCCCGAAACGCCTCCATCATGGCGAGTCAAACCCCCTCCCTTTTAGCCGCCCTTCCGTGTCGCCGCGTTCGACTCAGTTGCCGCAACGGCGCCTTGTTCCAAAAACAAAGTCGCCGCTAACATGCCCGGACCAGGTGACCTTGACCAAGGCCAGCAACGACGACAATAACGTCGCGCCTTGAGCCTCCACTTCCATGAGGACTTTTTGTCGGTTTTTGCCTCCTCCGAGCGACCCCTCGGCAGCGTTCAACCCGCCAATTCGCGAGCCACGTTCGAGATGGATCATCTTATCTGACCATGGGCGCAACCCCATCCTCATACCTAGCATATACCAAGCATGTCAATGTGTGTGTGTGTGTGTGTGCGTGAGAGTGCGCCCCGCGTACCGAACGCAACTGCGCGCCGATCGCTGACCACGCGGCAGCTTCTCCCATGTTTTCACATGAACACTCGCACAACCCCCTCCCCCCTTTCTTAGAGATCGACGCAGCCTCTTTCCCCTTTTCCCAAAGAGCCCCCTCCTTCTATCAAAATCATGGCGGTTTGCTGGGTGCCTGGCAGTGCCCTGGGTTTTGTCAGAAAGGCAGTGAGCCCGACCCTCATTTAGGCTTAACCCTACCATTGGGTTGTCACACACGCATATGCGGTGCCGGCCGGCAGTAGGTATACGCACACTTTCAGCTTCCGCACTCGGCGGAAGCGATTGGATTTGCGATGAGACAAAGGCGCGCGCGCCGTGGCTGAACCACACTAGACCACGGAACACCTACCAATCCTCCAAATTTCAGGGCCATGACATTGGGATATCATTGCCCGAATAAACCGCATCGCATGGCAGGTGGCGAGTCGGTGAGAGCCGAACCGTCCAAGCCCCAAATACACACATCCCATCTCAAGCTTCGGCTTCATCCCCATTGCGGGGAGAGATGCATACGTGATGAGATGGCAGGCCTGGCGCTTTTAGAGGTCCGGGAGGGGGGAGCACGGGAGCACGAGGGGGGCAGGCTACTTGGGGATGCAGATTGTCGTTTTCCCCATCTTGATGCACAGGCGGAGGAGAGGAACCGTTCCCCCGTGCCCTCGGCGCCGCGCCATCTATTTGATGCTTGACCACCTGCAACTGATCGATCGAATGTTTCTACAAGCCTGGGGGGCTTCATTGCATCAGAGGTGGTCTGATCTTGCGTTGCCGATCTATCAAGCTTTGGCCGTTAGAGATGCGCGGGTATAGGTGGTTGATGTGAATATTCTTTCTTGAAATTCTTCGTACTACTATTATATTTTACTGTTCGCAATGTACTATGTGCGTTGATACCCATATCCAGTGACAATACCAGCCAATCCACCAGGCTGGTTTCCTTAAATCACAACCCATTGCTTTGCTCGCCGCCGCCGCCGCCTTCGCCGCTCAAGTCACGCGGGACATGGAGCAGGGAGTCTCAAAAGTTCAAAAGGAAAAAGTATGTCCTCGACGATGCAAACTAGAAAATGCAGTGGCATTTCTTAGTAAGATGGGTATAGTCATCGTGTGTGGAAGCTAATAGTACAAGTCGCCCTCCCGGTTTGGGAACAGGGTCGAGTTTTTGCGAGGTGTGCCGCCAAGGCACCAACCTCTGGTTCGTCATCTAAGAAAAAGGACCCTTTTGGTGGAAAATCCCAACGGGCGGAAATGACATGATGAGCGCGCAACAAAGTAACAAGATGACGAAAAAAACAAAACGCAGAAAACAACAAGAGTGCAGCCCAGTAGCCGTTCAACGCCAAGGGTGAGGGTATCGCCAGGTCCTCCGTGACCTCTTGGAGATCTTCTTCCTCTTTCGAACATTTGAAAACCGAAAATGCACAAGAATGTGGTTGGTCCAGCCACCAACCAGACCCGTATCCTGGGGGTTGTATGGTGTGGGGTTGAGCGATCGACAACGAAGTGAATCCGCGCCCTTGTTCCCCTTTCTCCTCCTGCAGTTTCCCCCTTTCCCATGCGTACCTCACAACCATGAGGTGCCGTCGATTCTGCCGCATCGTTCCGGAGCCCGCGGGCTCGAATAGTCGCAGGTAAAAATAAGCCAAAAAAATTGGTAAAAAGATCTCCAACATATCATGAGACACCCTTTATGACGATGATCCGAAAGTGACAACCCGCCCGCCAATTCCTTTGCCGCCGCCTGACTTTTGTCTCTTTCGCTCGCAGATAGATGGATATTATAACGATTGTAAGAATGGTATCGTGTGAAAACCGATGAAAAAACGAAGACCGTCTATAAGAAATTTTGAAAAATCACAACCCCGTTATCGAGCCACGCGCAGATGTGGAGGGGGTTTTGGTGTCGAGAGTGGGTATAGACTGTTGGTCATGACTCGAACCGGGAAAACTCGTGAGCTCGTACTAATCCTACTCGCCGAGGATTGTTTCGAGGACAACAATGTTGCCGTTACAGCTTGTTGTACAGGTGGGTATGGCGAGTTGAGTCCGATTAATCGGAGTGGTGGTCTTCAGAACCAGCCTCGGAGCGAGCGTCGCCCTTGTGAACCTTCTTGTGCCTCCGCAGATTTGAGACTACGGAGAAGTGACGACCGCAACCTTCGACTTCGCAGGCAAAGGCTATACTGCTATTAGCGTGTGTAATCTGGGAGATATGCCTTGGCATAAATGATAATGAGTGTAACATACGCTTCTCGCCAGTGTGGCTGTACATGTGCGTCTGAAGAGAAGAAGGGCGAGTGAAGCGCTTGTCGCAAACCTTGCACTTGTGCTTCTTCTGCGTGCTGGACGACACCTTGGAGCTGAACTGGCCCATCATGGATTGGGGCGCAGGCGGAATCTGGGGCGCCATGAGTCCATGGGGCCTGGGAAGGGTCCGGGAGGTGACAGACTCGATGTCTGAGCCGGCAGTAGAGTAGTCGCTAACAGAGTCGGCGCCATAGTAGTTGCCGAATCCAGAAGCGGAGGATACGGAAGAGCTGGTAGAGTGCGTTGAGGGGAAGCCGTACGAGTCACCTGAAGCCCTGTCGCTACGGGCACCATAGATGTTACGGGGGGTCTCTTGGCTCATGGCGAGCATGCCGTGGCTTGCGTCGAGGGCATCAGCGAAGCTCCTGCGCTCATCGTGGTGGTGAATTCCTCTGTTGTTAAAGTCAATCATGGAGTTGCGATGGGGCCGGGCCAGAACAGTGGGGTTTGTGACATCGACCAGGGAGGTTGAGGGTACTGACGAGTGAGAGAATCTCCGAGAGTGTTCGGGTTCCGGAGCAAGGGCGAAAGTAGAGCGCATGGGAGCAGGTGCGTAGCCCATGGTCTCGTAGGGGCTGGGAGAAGCCGTGTAAGTGGCGTTGACGGGGGAAGCGGCGGTCGCGTAGGGAGCATCACCGTAGGCAGGGGCCGAGGTGGCAGCCATGCGGTTGATACTGAGGATATCTTGGGGAAGAGTGAGTAAGTCCGACCTAGGCAGAGGGTCTGCCATGGGGAGACTACCTGCTGAAGCTGCCGTCACTGGGATCTGTCCATAAGAACCCAAAGATGAGGCATTGCTGCTGGTGCTAGTCCTAGCAGTGTGTGACCTGTCCAAACCCAGACCCGAGTTGAGAGAGTGACCGTGGTGAGGGGCATACAAGCCCTGAGGAGCTTGAGGTGATGAAGTGTTTGCCCACGGGTTTGAGAACTGGGGGGAGGAGGAGGATGAATGTGCGTAGGAAGACATGTGGTCGAATGTGTTTAAGGGTCCGAATCGTTGCTGAGAATCTAATGTCATAGTCATGATGGTATGGTTTGGCGGTGTTGATGATGGTGGTGATGAGAGATTGCAGTGGTGGTGGTGAGATGGGATGACGAGGTTGAGCGTCAACAAAGGTAGATGTCCGGTGGAATAGCGTTTGCTGATCGGATGCAAGTGCAACGGCTTTGAGAAAGAGCCAAGTCGTGTTACGGATCAGATAGAACTGGATGATCCCGTGGGAATTGGGTGAGTTGAGGTTGGGGGATCAGCGAGGTTTAAGTGTGTGCCTGTGGACTACTGACACACGAGTATTTGAACCAGTTGAGAGCTGAGACCAATCGTTTGGGCCGACCAGGCAAGAGTCGTATGAAGCTTGTTGCACAGTGGTCAGCGGGACATGGGAGAGTCGTGTGGAGACTCGTTCTCTGCAGACAGCTGTGACGACTCCGACTCAGAGTGATCGACAGCGCCAATATCCCGTGGGAAAGAGGCCGAGGCGGACAGGGTTGGGGGCGATTAGGTAGGGTAGCAGGATGGTTCAGATTAGGACCGGGGGGCAGGCTGAGGAGGAGGAGCCTTGAGGGAGGGAACGACCAGGTTGAGGTACAGTAGTGAGGTACTCCGTAGTGCAAGGTAGTGTACGAAGTAGGTGTAGACCAGCGAGAGCGGAGCGGATGCACGGTAGTGCGTAGCGTGGGTTTAGAGGTGTGTAAAGTGAGTGAGTGAGGATGTGGGATTGTGGATGAGAATGAGAGAGGAGAGAGAGAGAGAAAGAGATGGTGGCCCAATTTTTGACAAGTTGGCCAGGATGGAAGAGGAGGAGAGACCTGGAGTACGTCCCTGGGACGAAGTCGAAATGGGAGAAAGATCTGCGGTGTCGAGGACGGTTTGGTGAAAAGTCTCGAGGTCAATTGGGGAGCCGTGACAGGGACCCCAGGTGTAGTTCAGTAGTGCGGTGTAAAGTGCGGACGGCTCTGAAGTCAGCCGGGAGAAGACGACCGATAATTGGAGGTGCGTTGGTGTTTTTTTTTTCTCCCCTTCCCTTTTTCCTCAAGTTCGCAAATAGTGGGGCTCTCCCGTGTTGTGTGTGTGTGTACGTAGTGTACGTAGCGTGGTGTTTTTTTTTTTTGTGGTGTAAAAGGTACCGGTATCTTTCCCCCGTTCTTGTGTGTGTGGAAGAGAGAAAGATATGGGGGCAGTGTAGAAGAACAGACAGTTGCTTCTTTTTTTTTGATTTTGCTGCCTCTCAATGCGCTCTCTATCTCTTTCTGTTCAGTTGTGACGAACCGAAAGCACAGGGCAAGCAGGAAAGAAGGCGGAGCGCTCTGTCTGTAATGCGTGGTTGGGTCTGAGGTTGGATGATGGAGCTGATGATCTCTCTGATGATGAGCGTTCAGAAAAATTGGGTCAAGGTGTAGAATTCGCAAAGAGGGATGGGGGAGGCGAGGGAACAACGCTTTTACATCCTGTGGTGCTTCCGGGTCAGGCAGGAGAGACAGTAGATGAAGCTATGATGTCGCTTTACTTGGTGTTAGAGTGCCTTGTGTGGAGCGATGAGGTGGAGGGGTGGGGTGAGAAAACTGATGGAGAGGGTGCGTATTTTGTTTTTGCAGCGAGAAAGAAGAGGAAGAGGACGTGTGGTGGGGTCATTCTAGTAAGGGAAGAGGGATGGGGGTTCGACCGGGGGTAAGGGGGGGCGGGCAAGGAAGGAGAGAAGGAAGACAACGGGAGGGAAGGGGGTGTGTAGTTGAGTGGGAAGGAGTGGGTGAAGTGAGGGGGAAGAGACAGGCAGGGACCATGGGAAGTGGATACCCGGCTGTCCTAAGCCAGGCAAGAGAAAGTGTGCACACACACACACACACACACACACACCTCTCTCTCTCCTCTCAGAGTCTTTCTGTCTCTCCAGTGTGAGGAGACTGAGAGGGGGGCACCTACTGCGTATACATCAGAGAAAGCGGTACCCGCAGGCACTACAGATGCGGAAACCTGCGAAGTGAAGAGCCGGGCTCAGGCTTGTACCGTCCAAGTCAGGCGCGCCGCACGCAGGTACCAAGCCTGACGGGTAGAACTACCAACGTAAAGCGCGGCTGTCGACGCCTCGACCACGTCCCGTCTCAAGTACCCGAGTACGTCGTCTATACTTTAGGCAAGGCTAGCACGCTCGAGCATATGCTGCCCTCTCGTCCACCTACGAAAGTACTGTACGGGGACTTTGCAAGTCTACCTACCTATCTACCTTGCTGCATAGTATGGCAAGGTGAGGTAGGTATTCGTGCACCAGCATTGAGAGGAAAGCCCCCCAGTCCACAAGGTGCCGGTATCTGTCTCTCCCGCCCGCCATCGCCTCTAGCGCCAGGCCACGGGCAAGAGCTCTGTTCTCCCCCCATCACTTCCAATCCGAGCAGCCCAACACTAGCCTTCACCTGGGCTAGTCAACTTAAGGTCAGGACTCAGCGTAACGTAGGATAGGGTACGGCGTCACGGCGTCTAGGGCATGCGGATACGCATTGCGCCTCCCTCGGGGTAGGAAGAATCAGAAGAAGCCAAAAAAGCGCCACTGATGATGGGTAGGCAAGGGCACGGAGACTATGGGAGGGGCGGCCATGGCATGGAATGGGACGGGATGGGGGTTCGAGTTGGTGGGCAGACTCTCCTTTCTCGCGCATCTACGAAAAGCAGACCAAAAGTGCAGATTTGTAGAGTCCCCCATGCTGGTTACGGATACTAGCATCGGGTCTGATCAAGGTTGAGGAGGAAGGGTGTGTACGCTATGGTTTCTCTTCTTCTCCTACGACCATGACGGATATGTACGGATAGGATAGTCAGGGCGAGGGGTACGGAGTAGGGAAGGAAGAATTGTTCCTAGGTTAACCGTACTCCGGAGGTGGATTTTGACGGCTGGCTTGCCTGACGTCCAAGCCATGAGTTAATCAATCGCCAATGCCTGTAGAATAGAGATGAGATATGCAGGGTCTTTCTCTGCCAAAGCAGAGGAAGGGGAACAAAATACATCAAAACTCGATTCTCCGACCCTAGGTGCCATCTACGCCATACCGGATACGTAGTCAGCCAGCATCATGTCCAGATTCAGACCTGCCATGGCTTGACTCGGAACGGCGCTTGCTCGCCAGTGTCGCCACAAAGTCCCCTTGGGCTGAGATGGATGTCGCGATATCTGAGAGGGGAATGGCTCCAGGGCCGGGGTAGGGGACCATGTATTCCGGTCCAACGACTTTTTGATACCATCCTCCTCCTTGCGAAGCTAAATGCCTGATGACAGCACTCGCCGTCCCGCTGGCTGAAAGGAGCGAAAGAATGATGGATGTGGTGGTGATGGTGGTAGTGGTGTGCGAACGTGCCTGCCTGCGTGCCTTGTGATGGGATCGCGTTCTGCGGCCTCTGCACTCGGCAAAGTGTGAAAGTGTCAAGACGAGCATGAAAGTAAAAAGAGTGGAGGGCAGACCAAGAGAAGGGCTCTCAATGGTGACATTTCGTCCATACTCCATACTCCATCGACGAGACCAACCGCAGCGTATCACGGGCGTCGAGATGCCGGCTTTGGCTCCTCTCAAGTGGCTCCCGTCAATTTGCTGGGAAAAGGTCTCCGGTCTCTCCCAAAGTCATTGGAAAAGTACGGATACCAGTATTCCGTATGGATACCCAGGTCAGGTTACAATGAAGACTGCGGGAGCATTCTTGTTGTCGTCGTCGGTTCGGTGCCTCATGTCTTTCTCTCTCTCTTGTCCCTTTCCCACTCCAACGCACGCAAATTCGCATCTGGCGTTCGTACGGATACTGCGTTCAACGCTCGTTCGCTTGGGGGCGTCCCACTCTCTGGCATTCAAACAATATCAATGGCATCCTTGCGAAGAGGAGAGACCAGGGCGGGTTCGAGAGGTAGCGTGGGCGTTTGAAAGGGCAAAATGTAGGGGTAAGCCTTGGAGAAAGGCGCAAAGAATCAGAAAATGTGGGCCCGAGGGCTGTACTGAATACCTTCCTCTTGTTCTTTCTTGCTGCCCGTCTGTCTCCTCCCACCCTTCCTTTGCCTGCGCGATGAAAATAAGCAACCACGGGCCAATGTCGATGAGAGCGCCAAGAAATACCTCTCTCAGACGGATCCTGAGCAACTTTGGAGAGAGAAAGAGCAGGGGCTCTCTCTGACGACGGGGGGAAGGAAGAACTAAAGCGGGGGCGTGAAAAAGAGAGAAGGGAAGGGTGGTACGGCGTGCGTTTAACCCTCCAAGTGGATACCAGGGCGTCTTTCGACGGCTACCACTGACGTAAGGCACGTCAATGTATTGATGCGTTTCGAGCAAGGGTGTGCAAGATTGAAACAACCTCCACAGTGCCCACCCGGACACTGCTGTCATCAACTGGCAGGGGCCAAGGCAAAGAGAAGGGGGGGCACGGGGGCCCTTTGGGAGGGGATTGTGCCCTTGGTTCGTTCGTCAGTGAGGAAGTCGATGGTATCCGTACCTACAGTGTAGTGTACGGAGTATTGAAGTGGAGGGAAGCGAATGAGGAGGGGAAAGAGGAGCCGCCAATTCGATTCGACCGCAAGACGACGCAAGAATAAATTCCCCCATGCTTTGCAAAGTACCTGCACTACGTATCTCGAGATCGAAATTGCCAGCAGAAAGAAGCGTCAAATTTTGGGTCTGATACGTACCTGCAAGACTCGGAAGAAAGTCACACGTCCAGGAAGTGGGAAACACACTGCACTTGCACTGCACGCCAGGATCTGTTCTGTCCTGGCCCATCCCACATGTACAGTCAATCCCTTTGCTTTCCACGCCCGTTATTACATGCTGCGTAGAGTACGGAGTACATACTTCACACCTGGGAGGGGGAGGGGGGAAGATGACAAGGGACCTGCCACAAGATGAGAGCGGGCGGTCTTGGATGAGAGGGTGCTGATGGAACCACATCGCAACCGTGGGTTTGGGCAGCAAGAATGCATGGTCAAAGACAGAAGGGTTCGACATTGTCGTCATATCATGGCATCTCTGTTACGATGACGGCCCATGCCTGTAACCCATCATCACTCAACTCAACGCAACCAAGACATATGTGTGTTGCCGAGCAAAACAGAAAAGTGCTTTTGACCGTGTGGGCTGGGCGGGAGCGACTAGCCTTACTGTTCCTGTGGGAATGTCAATTCCGGCAATAAGTGACAGACAAGCCACTGAGCCTCATAGTAAAATGGTGGTAGTCGCGTACTCTTGTCCAGCTATACGTACGAAGACCGCATTCAATGCCTTCGAGTAAACCAGCCTGGTGCTGCCAACCACGAAACAAGCACACAGTGTATACGTACAGCTCCGATAAGCTGCCGCCATAGCTACTGTTGATTCAAGTCAAGTGCTTGGCTCTTCCATCGAATGCGTTTCTCATATGATCCGCTCCAAAAGAACCGATCTCTGGTTGATGAACCGCATGTTGTTTTTCCAATGGCTTGCATGCAAACATGAGCCTGGCTTCTTGATGACGAACTTCGTCCGCTCTCTGATATGAAGGAACCCCTTCCATGATGGATGCACGGAAATCGCGTCAATAATGACCTTTCCCGTGGCTGCATCTAGGACACACAGAATATCCATACTGTTACATGTATGACGCGGGTGCCAGCTTACTCGTCTGGGATGAGGCAGCGAACCTCCCAAGGTGGCCTGCGGTTCATGTAGCCTTGGGTATCCGTATCTGCCTGTGTCGAGTATGACGGGGGTTGACAGAGGTAAACCGCATGGGGGGTGGTAGTGTCGTCTGTGAGGCCAGTGGATTTCGACTGACGTAGCGTGCCTCTTTCCATCCTTTCCATGATCAGGATTCTTTCCTTCTCGTGTTTGAGTTGCGGCATGCTGGACGACAAGGACGACAAACCATAATCTGGCAGCATTGGTTGGTCGGCCATCCAGCCGGCCAGGCATTGCTTGTCAGCATTCAAACGGCCCAGCGATTACATCAACGATCCGGGGTACCCTCGATCAACGCGCTGCCCCTCATGCATCCTACAATGGCGCAAGTGGAGATGTTGCCCTTTCTCCAGTCGTTTCCCAGCGCACCACATGTCATCGTCTGCCTTGCGCAGATTCAGCTATTGCCCGTGGAAACATAACCCAGAAGATCTCTTTTCTTCACGTGTTGAGCAGGAAAAGTGTCCGTCTCGCCGTGTCTGCAGGGTACCGTCCTCCAGCCGAAGCTGCCGTTAACGCCCCCGTTGCACTCCACACCAAGAATCTTTCATCTCTCAGGAAAATTCCATACCCAACTTGGACAGCATCCACCATGGGCTATTGCGAAGATGGAGATGCTTGGCAATATTTGAAGGTCTGGAAGGCTCTCTTGATAAATATCACCAAGAAATGATGGGTCGCAAACGCCTTCCGGACAAAAAAGTAGGCTCAACATGTTGGTATACTCCGTACACTCCCCTTGACTCTTTAGT